TGTATATAATCCCACTTCCTTTGAGGAGGCCAAGGGCCGTCTGTAGATGCACTCGCAGTGGAGGAGCTCAATAAAGGGATGGAAGAAGCCTGTCGACAGGGACGGCGAGGCTAGTGTTGATGTCCAAGGAAGTGACGCTTGTCATGATCGCGATGGAAGAAGATTCCGTATATATGAAGAAGGACGGCGTTTGAGGTTCAAAACTTTGGGGGGTTGCCACTTGACATTGGTTGGAGGGTCTCTTGTATAATTCCCTTCTTTTTGGTACAATTTTGAATAGACATTGTCCATATCGTTTCTTTCTTGTAGTTTTGTGCAACCAAAAGGTGAACCGAAGCCCCCTGAAACGAGGTATCAAGTGATGTTGAATGCTTTGGCCATGTCACCCAAGCACGGTCAGGAACCGATCCTTGTCGCGATGCTTCTGACTCGGTGGATTGACACACACCAGGCCATCGAGGTTGACTGATGGCGTAAAGTCGGGCGCCGGAGATTGGTTGGTAATTGACAGACTTGTGCCAAAACTCGTTGCGCATGATCCCTGGTGTTGCAATGGCAGAGTATCCTCGAAAGCAGGTAGCCGTATGTAACTGGTATGAGGTTGCCAATCATTCAACTCTCCTCAATCGCATGCCCAGCAGTGTGAATGTATGCAGAGAGCAACGACGTATGAAAGGTGATAATGCCATGAAACAACTTAACATCAAACAATTGGGATTCAGTTGGTGTGTAGAAGGAGGGGGAATCAGCACTCGAAGCTCGCACAGCTGCATCAGACATGCATGGCGAGCTGTACATGTGAGTTATAAAGCTCGGAACGCCGGTTAACGCCATCGAGAAAACTCGGAAGGCCGAGACTTGATCGCGGCGACCGAACGGAGAACCGCTCGGATCATCTTCAGCCCTTTTGTTCAACGCTTCAGCCCGTCACAGGCACTGGATATTCCTTTTTCCGGGCCGCAAGCGTGTGTGTTTCTTTGTGTGTGTCCGTTGTTCCGCGGCCCCGAGGCCCCGACGGTGCCGAACTGCATCTCCCGGGCACCGCAAAGACACATGTCGGGCAAACAAACCCAAGCTGTGCCCATCCTGCGCATTCGTCATCCTCGACTTTCTCCTCCGCTGAGGATACAGTTTCATAGAGAAGCTGATATTGCCCCTATCTGCCTTGGGGAGGCTTCGAACCGCCGTCTTTGCAAAAGGTAGGAAAAGGGAGACTGTTGCGGACGTCTCCCGAAGCAGCGGAGGATCCACACTCCACGATTTCTCCCGTCACGGCCCACACATCGCCGATGCGCTCGTCCAGCTTGTGCAACAAGGGACGCTTTAGCGGCAGCCAAAGAACGGTCAGGAGGCCAGCAAGAAATTAGACCAAGGATTGAGATCGGTAAATTGCTAGACCGAAGAAGAGATCGGTAAAGTCGTCCCTGCTTTGTCATGTAGTGATTCAGCATACAAGTCAGTTGACGATGCACTGGACATTTCGCGACGTCACCGGCGACTGCAGTCGGCGTGCAATTCATACATACAGCGGTATCGACAACATTCGCATAATAAGATGCTGCTTTCGATGCGCCGACCAGCACATCGTATCGCGAACAGTGGAACAAGGCGAGGCTTTCATGCGTCCCGATGAAGAATCAATTGCCGACGGTGACGGGCTAGCAACCAACACGATTGGCACCGTGCTTGCCGGTGGATATTGCGCCTTCGTTATTCCCGTTGTCCGTAGGGAGCACGCAGTGCGACAAGTGCAGTTGCTCAATCAATATAGCACTCGTACATAGCTCGGGCAAGCGGGGGGTTCACTTTTGTCGACGAGATGCAGATGCCCCAACTTTCTGCTCAGCCAAGAGTCATAACCGTTGTCTTTGGCGAATGGCATGCTTCTTGGCGGTGAAGCCGTCGACTCTGTCCATCTGGCTGGCTTGCCCAATCCAAATCCTTTGAAAGCGGACCGACGTTCCTCATGGCATCTTCCGTGAGAGGCTGGAACAAATGTGGCTGCAGGACTAAACTTGCAAGGTCGTTAGTAGTAGTATTGAGGCTGGAAGCCACAAGATGGAGAACGATCTCTGGCACAAGCAGACAGGCGAAACATAGGTAGGCACTGTGAGCCATCTGATTCCTCTGGATGGCCTTGCCAGCAGGCGCACATACTTCCTCAGCCTCCTCCTTGGCATCTGCACAGGTGACAAACCAGGTCGCAGTGCACTCGCAGGCGGGCATCGTGCCCAGGGTTGACCCTGTTGTTGCAGGAGCTGCAGAAGAACCTGAGAAAAGGAGGCTAGCCATCGTCGATCCTGAGCTGGCGGTGCAAGTGGTCAACAAGGGAGGGAAAATGGCGGCTCCACAGAAATCATAGAAGACGCTTGATTTCGAGAGGATGATACAAACCTGTCTTGCACTTGATATTCTCACGCACCTCGGGTCGCGATAGCGAGAGATTGCATTGAAGAGAAGAATGATGAAGAGCGGGAGTCTTAGCTGGAGAAAAGTTTCGCGAATGTTACCTAATAGAACCTAGCCGAGAAGGAGCAAGAGATGTCAAGGGCATCGCAGCTGCTGTTTTGGTGTTTGACGTATGGTAAGCTTTGGAGTACCGCAGAGGTACCAAAGAACGCTCAACGTGGCTGGCATGCCGCATGTCGCGAGAGAGTATCGAATTAAACAGCAGGTACCCTCGAGGTACGTTGAGTGCCTGCCTTCCGTTGTCAGAACACTCAAGTCCGAGGCCAATTAATTCTTGTGACATCAGCCATTTCAGTTCGCATCAATGCCCAAATGCCTGCCCCTGAGCATATCGATCTTCACGGCCCTGTTCATCGACAGCCTGACGTTATGCATGTGAAACGGTTTCACCCTTCCAGTTCACCGCTAAACCTACTGATCGCCTCCTGTAACGGCTGTCCCCTTTGCTTCAAACCCACTCCGAGCTCCCGCAACCCATGCAGAGCTGTCCGGACAAGCAGGAAGATGAAGCCATCGTCAGTGACCCTTATCCCGCTCCACCCGAATGGGTCTGGCTGCTGCTTGCGCCATCCAAGAGATCGTCCAGTCAACGCTCTTGCAAAAAGCGTTACGAGCGGCAGCCACCGAGATTGACGATTCGGGGTGTGTTCTCCGTCCTGGCATATGCTTGACAGGGCGAGCGCAGCCCCGTGCCGCGCCCAAATATCACCGGCGCTTTTTATGTGGTATCTGCTAAGTATCGTCTGGTAAGACAAGCGCATGGGGGAGCGAAGCAGAAACTTTGGCAATCTGATTCTGCAGCCTCCTAGGATGACACGGGACGACACACAGAACAGAGCGGCTGCAGCTGCAAGGCGCCATTGTTCAGAGCGAAGAAGTCGCCAGATGGAAATCGTTGCAGCTGTTCCCCTTCTGAAATTCCTCGGCCGCGGAAGATTGCGTCTAGACTCGCTGGCAGCTCCTGGTGGTGTCCAGAAGCTAGGGCTGGACCCAAGCTTGACTGGAGGTCGACGATGGCCCTAGTCCGCTTGCCCATGGAAGTCGAGTCACCTGGTACATGGATGTGCCATACATGGTATAAGTGTCTTGCACCAAGTCAAGGGGTCGACAAGTAGTCCATCAGCGATGTCTCTAATCGACCTTCTTGGCGCTTGCAGCTAGAAACACTATTACGTGTTGACCCTCGAGTACAGAGTTCGTCGTCTATTGCGGACATGTCTTTGCATCTCAAAGTCAAAGTCATCGACATCGCCACCCTCGCCCCAGAAGCCAGCCTCGCTTCCCATCAGCTGTCACATGTGCTCAGTCATAAGCGTCCTCCTTACCTCCAATGGACGGCCCCGACGGTCCTAATCTCGAATGGCGCACTGGCTCACAAATCCATCTATCCGGCACACAGCCAACCAACGAATAGTCGCTGCCAGCCATCAATCCCAGCTTGCCAGCGCCCGGAGTCCCGTGGCGTCGCCCCGGCCTTCAGCGTCCTCCACTCTTGACTGTTTCGCACCCGGTGCTCCACCGTTGGCCTTCGCTGTGGTCTTTTAGTCATTCTTTATTCTTGTCCCTTTCCGGGAGCTGAAGACGGCTCGTCGACGTCCTGAAATAGGCGTCTATACATCGGTTCATTGCTGGATTTAAGTCCAAGGACTGGACTGGAGCAAGCAAACGTGCGTACCTCGTATGAACACGAAAATCTAAAGAATTTCCCCTCTAGCGAGGAAACCGAAGCAAGCCAGGCTTCTGGCGACTTGCACTCCGTAAAACGGGCTCAGAAGACACCTCGACGCTTTCGGGACCCAGAGCGTGCACACAAAGACAAGGGCAGGGCAGAACGAGGAAGAAGACCGGACCGTGAGAATCCACACGCCCCTCCTTGCCATGCCCCGTTTCCGATAATCCACCCCCGGATTTTTCACAATTCGACTGATTCCTTTTCTTCTTTCTTTTTCATGATCCTTTTCTACCCCACGCTGTCTGTGTCTGTGTCTGCCGGTGGCTAAAGAGCTCTGCTTGTTCAATGATTGATCTCGCTTCACGGCCTGGACCGAACGACGACATTGCACCCAGCATAGCCGTGCGTCTTGGTTAGCCTCACAGCTTTCCCCTTTGACCGAGTCATACACGAGTGGACGCCGTGGCCGTGCCCGAACCAGCTTCCTGATTTTCGGCTTTCTGTTTGCATCATCACCCTCCAGCCCTCATACAACTGTTCTCGCCACTACCGCTACGAAAGCCGGCACATGAGAGTCAAACGTGTGATTGAACCGCCGCCTTCTCAAAATTAGCTCTCATCGACTCGCACGGGACGAATGCACCTGGTCGTTCATCTTGACGGCCTCTGGGTTTCCTAACAATCCTCAAAATTTGCAAAGGGGTTTTTCTGTGGACGTGTGTCTGCCAGTACACCTCACTTCACTCACTGCTCGAGGATTGTCCAGTTATCAGCGTCCTCACTCTTCTACCTCCTCCGGGTCATACGTCATCCATCAATTTTCAAGCCTTGTCAAAATCAGCAAACACAACCGGCCACAATGTCTTCAGAAGCTGCGCCAGAGCTTGCGAATGCCGCCTCACCGTCAGATTCAGCGTCACCAGAACCTACGGAGCATGCGCCCGCTGCCGATGGCCGATCCGACGACAAGTCTAAGAAGCGAGCAGCCCCTAATGACGGCGCTGAGCAGCCGCATAAGGTCACAAAGAGGCGAGCCGCTCGTGCCTGCGTGTCATGTCGCGCACGCAAAGTCCGTTGCGATGTGGTCGAGGGAGCTCCCTGCGGAAATTGTCGCTGGGACAATGTTGAGGTACGCGCTGCGCAGTTGTCAATGAACCTCAGTCGCCTTGTCTATGGACAATGGAGCATAAACTGACCGCATTCCCCTTCGACAGTGTATCGTTCAAGAAAGCCGCCGGAGAAAGTGAGTAGTAGCCCGCTCTCATGTCATTCCCATTCCCCCCCTCTGTGTGCGGCGTATGGTCTTTCACGGCCGCTGCCACTCTTTCTTCGACTCGGCCAGATACGCTCTGTGATAACGGCAGCATGTGAAGTCGTCTCGACAACGAGACAGACCCCGGAACGTTGTTCCCCAATGGCGGCAAGGCCGACCTGAGGGAGCGCCAACATGGGCCTCAGAGCTGCCAATGACTGACCGGGCCAACCAATTTGAGCATGCATGAGCCAATTCACTGACGTACAATCGCTTTTAGAAAGAACCTCGTCACGCCCAGCATCGTGGGGCAAGGCCAATCAACCGAGGCTCAACTGCTCAGCAAAGCACCTTCGAGTAACCCCATTGCCATCAACAGCGCCGACCCGCGACGCACCAGCGGTGGTCCCTCGATTCTTTCGCCCGCCAGCCTCGATCCTTCAAGCGGTCTGCTCCCAAATGCTGGTGCTGACGGCCATGTGCCTCATATGATCTGTAAGTGATGCCTTTTGGGATCCTTTGCTTTTCAAATTTTCGGTCAATATCCGGGGTTCCACAACCGCCTCACTCTTCCCTTCCCATCCTTCTTTCTTCTTCTTCGGACTGTCGAAACTCTCTCCAACTTCTCCGCACGCATTTTACTACCCCCTTGCCCCCCTGACCCACCGGACTGGGCGAAAGCTTCCGTGCCGCCCATCCAGCATCGTCACCGGGCCCCTACATGCCGCTTGGCGCCGTCGAAAGCAGGACAAGGGCCTCGTATCACATGCAAATCGAGTTGATGAGCATGTGCAACGAGGCTGAAACTGAAGCTCAAGTTTTGCAACCATATAGGGTGCTGACCACACAACCATTCTGGTGCACTAGATCAACGATCTGCATATCGAAATGAGCCTCCTCTTCTCAGCAAGGCCCAGCTGTCAGAAGCAAATCGGCCTTCTTGGGCGAGTTCGGCTGGTTCCCTGGGTCATGGCTCCTCCTACGCCTCGGATGCCGTTGCCCAGCTGCCTCCGTTTGTGCGCGCCTTGCCCAGTAAGATCCCAGCAGAAGACGTTCGCTATCTGCACGCAAAGGGCGCATTAAGCATCCCTTGCCTCTCACTGCAGAATGCCCTCCTGCGTGCTTACATCGAGTTCGTTCATCCCTACATGCCGTTGATGGACCTTGTGCCCTTTCTCAACGTCATCAATCGCTACGATGCCGCCGAGGGTCAGATCAGCCTTTTCCTTTACCATGCTGTCATGTTCTCAGCCACTGCTTTTGTCGATATGAGACATTTACGTGAAGCCGGCTATGCCACCCGCAAGGCTGCCAGAAAAGCCTTTTTCCTAAAGACGAGGGTAAGTCAGCTACATGTTGCATTTCGGCTTGCACGTTCACACACCCCTCCCCCAATCTCTCGTAAAAAATCAAGACCCATATTCACATGCCAAACAGCTACTCTACGACTTCGACTACGAATCAGACCGCTTGGTTCTCGTCCAGGGGCTTCTGTTGATGACGTATTGGTACGAAACACCCGATGACCAGAAAGACACTTGGCACTGGATGGGTGTGGCCATCTCTCTGGCCCACACCATTGGGCTACATCGCAACCCTGAGGTGACGAGCATGGCCCAGCCGACTCAGAAGCTGTGGAAGCGCATCTGGTGGTCTTGTTTCATGCGCGACCGCCTCATTGCTTTAGGCATGAGGCGGCCGACGAGGATCAAGGATGAGGATTTCGACGTGCCGATGCTGGTGGAGAGCGACTTTGAGCTGGGGGTGCTGCCAGAGCACATCGCAATCATCCCGCCCGAATGCACCTTGATGCGCGATGTAGAGATGCAGCGGGAGCTTGCCGTCATGTGCATCGCCAAGGCGAAGCTGTGCATCTGCATTAGCCACATGCTCAAGGCCCAGTATTCGGTCCTCATCCGCGACAACATGAAGCCTGAGAACACAACAAACAGCACCATGATGCTGTTCCCCAACAAGAAGCTGGACAACCTGGACAATATCAAGGTTGTTGACGCAGAGCTCCAGGAATGGGCGGCGACGCTTCCTGCATGCTGCCAGTACCGCATGTTGGTTCCTGCAGACGTCAAGAACGGCAGGTCGACCATTGCAGTTCAGCGAATGCTACTCCATATGGTGTACCACACGACCATTTCCGCCCTGCATCGCCCTCAGTTCCTACCGTCATCGCCCATGCAGGCGCCGACTGCTTCTCGCCAGGTGCAGGAAATGTCACGCCTCAAGGTCAAGGACGCGGCGACGCACATTACAGACATGGCTACGGAACTGCACCATCTCCGCCTGGAAAGATACTTGCCTACCACGGGTGTGACGGTGATACTGCCCGCCATGATCATCCACTTGCTGGAGATGAAGAATCCGTTGCCCGACGCTCGTGCGCGGGCAACAAGAGGCTTCCGTCAGTGCATGCGCGTTATGGAGAAGCTGCGCGAGATTTACGCAGCAGCCGATTATGCCACCGGTTTCTTGGATGCTGCTCTGAGGAAGGCGGCCATTAACATCAATGCCTCTGTTGAGCCTGCAACGTTGGCAATGATGAAAGAGGTCCCGCCCGAGTTTGGTACTCAGACGCCGCCGCCTGAAAACGCGCCCTACATGACCGCCTCCGAGACGCTCTTCAACCAAAAGCCAAAGGAGGCCCAGAAGGTGATGGGTCCTCCGGGGACAGTCAATGCTTCCTCCCAAGTGTCCGGGGCAGTCAATTCCCCACCACACACCGACTTTGACCCGTCGAACCTCACGCCGAGCGTCAGCGGCGGGTCGGATGGAGGCCCACGTTGAACTGGACAATATCATGGACGTTGATTTCATGCAGGGTCACGACGAGTTCGACTGGAACGCGGTCGCCGGTACGGACTTTGATGTCGATCAATGGCTGCAGTTCCCCCCCGAAGGGGTAACTAGCACTGACGAGACGCTGATGGCTTCTGCCTTTACTGGTGCTCCCGATGCTGCGGATGCGTTTGGATGGGTATTCAACACGAACGTCGATGGTACCATGCCGGGGCAACCGGAAACCTCTACTTGAGTGCAATGAGTCAAGTATATAGGGGTTGTTGATGTTGCTTAGGGTGTCTACTCGTTCCGATTGGGCAAAAGAGAGGGAGGGGGAATGGGGATAACAACTTATAGACTGGGGAGAGGCGTCAATGGATGGGGCGTTTTTGAATTTGCTGTGGCAGCAGCTTGTTGCTGCGAAGACGAAGAAAAGAAGGAGAGGCCTCAGCACGCCGACTGATGGGCAGTTGCAGGCTGATGTTTGAGATGGTTTGGGATTTACTTGGTTTCTCATATGGTTTATTTCGTTTTCTCCGTCCTTCTTGGACTGAAGGTTTCCCCACAGGGCATGATTAGTAGCCCTTGTTTGTTGTCTTTTACTATGATGATAATGAAAATGATAGAGGGGAGCTGTTTCAAGATTGTCTGATCAAATCCCGGCAGCGGGTCACGTAATGCATGATAGGGATGTACACTGAGAAGCTGTAGGCTTGCAAAAGCACAACCAAGTCTAAGAGCATCTCTCGACGATATTGCTAATATATGAGGGAGTTACGCCTGGATGAAGACAGATGGTTGAATGAAGGGACAGAAGTTGCCTTGCGATGTCTTACTATCTGCACCTCTTGGAGGGATAGGTAGTACGTAGTTGGCAGGCATTGACAAGTGAAGCTGAGGTCCAACTTGCATCCATCCGCCCTGTGTGGAGCGACGGGATTCGGCCTCGGCGAGGCATGGCGACGACATGGGGGGGGGGGGGGGGGGGGGGGCCGCCTCGGCAGATTTGACGCGCTGGGGCACGTGCCTGTACGAAACACGGGTACGAAACAAATTGGACGAGTCTGGACCGTGAAGACATCCGTGCGCGCAGGAGTGTGAATGCCCAGATTCAATTTCAAGGCATGACATATCATGCTTTGGTTATCGAGTACCTAGGTAGGTAGCAAAAGGCCACCGTATCAAGCGTCTCTACGTGGCCGTTCGGGATTAAGCGCGGGTTGATCGCCGAGAAAAGAAAAAAAAAAAAAAAGAAAAGAAAAGCTCACGTCCAGCCCGCGTGTCTCCTCTCTCTGTCCATGGTCGGCTTAGGCTTCGGCTTGGTCATGTTGGGGGGACAAAGACGGGACAAGGGCCTGCGGGCTGTCGTGCATGTGCGGTTGGCGTGTCATGCCCAGGGCCAATCGATGCGTGACATCAGGGACGGGAGAGAATTGGTGTTGTTTAGAGTCAAGGCAAGGTAGCCGTGCCGTGGCTTGGCTTGGCTGCGCTTGGACTTGTATGGCTCTATCTAGGTAGGTAGGTATGGATCTTGTACTGGGTTGATGGAGAGAAATGGCTGATGGTGAGTTGGGCGCGATTGTGGCGGGATTCTTGCATGTGAGAGAGGCGGAGAAAGATCCTTCATGTCGTGTGCTTGCATGTATGGACGATGCGGAGGGGAAAACGATATGAGATCTATCGAATCGAATGAATGCGTCATGCATGCGCTGGTTTTCTCCCTCTCGTCCTCGCCTCCGGCATCTTGATTCGTTCGATGATGTGCGCATGTTATAAGCAAGGGAGACTTGATCTTGTGGCACGTTTACGTACTTTGTGTGTACATTTTACTACATACATGAGCCTTTAATGTGAGACTTGCCAACGAAAAAGAAGTGCAAGGGAGAGAGAGATGAAGAGACACAGCGCAGTTGGAGTCTGGGGACGGGGCCTGCGGTCATATTTCGAGAGGGATTTCGTATCTATGTAGTACCTGCCTATTAATCATACAGTAATACTACTAAGTGATGCATGAACTGCTTACAATTGGTATTACGATTAGGCAAACACTGCAGGATTGATAAGACTTAAGAACCAAGAAGCCTGAGAGGTGTCTCGGTCGGGCTGGTTGGGATGGGCGAACCGGATGGATGGGAGGAGTGGAGACGTGTGACGAAACCACGGCCAACGAGCGAGAGAGAAACTGAAGGGAGGAGAGAAAATTCTTTGCGCCCTCGCTTTGGGGCTGATTGAGACTTGTCGAGGCTAGAGATGCCTTTTTTTTCAGGTCCTCAGTTCAGCTCTTTGGTGTCTTTCCTGTTTGCGCCGCCTTGTATTACGACCAGCCAGCCGGCTGTCTGTAACGAGTAGGTACCTACGTCTCCAGCCCCGTAGAATGTCAATATTGACTTTGCCCAGCACGCAACAGGTTGACGCACGACGCGTCCCAGGTACCGCGCCGGGAACCCGCAATACGAACACGCACGTGTACTGGTACCTACCTATCTACTTGCACTAACTTGAACCCACGGAAGCATGGCCTTGTATTTCCGTGCTGGGTAATACGCCTTCTCGGTACCTGACGCTAATAAGATTGCCTCTTGTCCAAGGAGGAGCCCTTGCGGGAGGCAGCAAATGAGGGCCGCCAAGGGACGAGGCGCTAAGGGCCCTAGCGAGAGCGCCGGGGCAGCTTGGTTCAGCGGGCGAACGGGGCGTTGGCACAGCACCACAGCACCTACGAGGTACCCGTGCGAGAGATGTACAGGCACCATCCACAGCGCCCACAGCGCATCGACAGGGCGCTGCACGGCATCGAGCACGGCGTCGGGTCCGTTCCATTGCCCTGTAAACCTGCCTACTACCTAGTAGCAGTGAACAGGGCGTCCAGGTGATGGCGTCAAGACGCGCTGCCCCAGAAAGCCAATCCATGCGCAGGTCCCTCCCTCTACGGAGTACTGGTACCTGGACGAGCGTCGCAGAAAGAGGAGTTTGATGAGGGAGCCACTGCGAGAAGGGAACAAAAGGCCGTTGCTGGCTGTGTCAGGGCAGGGCAGGGCATTGGATTAGTATTACGGGCACCTCAGCCATATCCATCTCTCCAGGTCTCGCTGCTCGGGGCGGGTTCCATGCTGTTGGCGCAGTCGCGGCGCGCCTTGGGTCAAAGCTGGCGCCTGGATTCACGCTCGTTCAGTCACTGCTCATTTCCTTGGGTCGTGTTTTGTTTTCTCTCTCTGTCAACTGACTTTTTGCAACGCCTTTTTTTGCTCGCAACACTGTCGCCGTTGTCGTCTTGCGCCTCTCTCTGTCGCTCGCTCCAATTTGCTCCCGAATTCTGCTGTGATTTCGCTGCTTTTTTTTTGAAGTATTGCTGGGGGGGCACTGGTCTTTTGCTAGGGGGGCACTAACTAGCTAAACTTGGTATAGTAAAGGCCTATGCTCACAGACCCACAGAAACTTCCTCTACCTTTAAAAATCTATAAAAAATTCTAGAAAATTAGTTTTAAGATTTTTATTTAATTTCTAGGTTTTTTATATATTAAATATATATATTAAACCTAAAAATATAAGTTTATTTATTATATTAAGCTTAAAAATCTTGCTTTAAGTTAAAGTAGTATTTTTTAAGTAAGTAGCTATTATATAAGTATGCATTAAGTAAAATATAAATCTTTAATAAATAAGCTATATAAATATATAGAAAGTTACCTAATTATACTAAAGTATTATAAGAAAATCTATACTTAAATATAGCTTAAGTTTCTCTTAAAATTTTATTATTAATATAGCTTTAGAAATATTTTAAAAAAATATTTTAAGTATATATAGGCTTTATTTAATAGAATAGTATTTTTTAAATATTTTTTTTAATTTTATTTAGCTTAGTTATAAGTGTTTAAAGTTATAGAGTTATAAGGAAAATTTTCAGGTACTTTAACCAGTGCCCCCCTAGCAAAAGACCAGTGCCCCCCCAGCAATACTCTTTTTTTGCGTCCAATCGCCACGGACGAGGCCAGCCGCTCTCTAAACAATCAGCCCCTTGATTCCAACAGTCTTTTCCGGCCTGCGTCTCACTCTACGTTCTCTCTCTCTCACTTTTTGTCACTCATTTTCGTTCTTCTTTGGCGCGCGCGATTGATACCCAGCCAGTCGCTCTCGTCCAATACCACTCCTTGTCCAGGTAACCCTTTTGCTTCGCGACTGTCGCTCTCGATCGCCTCTTGTCTCTACAACTACTGGCCATATTAATACACACCGCGCCTGACTTGCATAATCATCGTCGATTCGAACACATACATACATACATACATACATACGGACCCCAACAAAAGACCCCTACGAGGTCCGGCGGATACCCAACGCACGCGCGCCACATTGCGTACATACGGCCGGCGAGCCTGGATCGGATCCCACGCATAACGCAGCACGCATTACAGACTCCACGCTGTCCGCCGGCTGCTTATTCGCTGCCCGCTTATCCGGAGGCCTTGCCAGCGAAGCAGCAGCACTGAGGTGGCACCATTCAGCTTGTGCCCAACCGCCGAGCCGAAACGAAACCGCCCGTGACTTTGCCTCGCCTCCATACCTACCATCTCCTGCTCCGATCCGGCTTGGGACGCCTGCAGCTGCGAGAGGCTTGTCTGCGCTGGTCTCCTGTGTCTGACGGCAACCCCCGTCATTCCATTTTTTTCTGCGACAAACGCCGGCGCCGAGCTACACCAGGGGAAGGGCGGCCAGAGACGATTGGATTGATTCCCCAGCGTGGAGACTTATCCTCCCCAGTGCCACTCCAGCCTTATTTGCTTCCTTGTCTGCTTGCTTTTTCCCTCGCTCTTGTTTTCCCCGTCGCGCTTGTCTCTGCATCTATTATTGCACGAGTCACAAGCAAAGACCCGGGCAAGTAAAAGAGGCCGCTGCCTCCTTGCGCTTGCCTGTATCCAGCAACCTGTCTCTTTGACGGCTTACAGCTTGGTCGCATGGCTGTCTTGTTATAGCCGACAAACCGCCACCCATCACCGCCGCTCTCCGTCGACTATGGGCATCACCAACCAAGACCGAATCATCGCTGAACTGATCCCGCCCGGTCCATGACATAGACTTGAAGCCGCCTGAGCCGGAACAATTGAGAACAAAGACAACAACACAACTTTTTTTTAAAGCCCCGACAAGGCAGATGATGCCTCGCCGGCATCACTGTTAACAACTAGTTGCAACGCGCTAACGACCACTACAAACCGCGACGATCGCGAATAAGCAATCATGAACGAAACGCCGGTTCTCGTCAAGCAGAAGCGGCTTTCGACGCCCACGCCGGGCCAGCTGCTGGCCGCTCGGCAGCGCCCCGCCGACGACTTCTTTGCTCACCTGGAGCCCTCCAAGGTTGTCGAGGCATTGACACCGCCCGATGGCGTCCTCAGGGGCTGCCTCGCAGAGGCTTCCGCGCTCGAGCGCGACTTCGCCATGCGGACGGCCGTGGCATCCCAGAAGATCTGGCAATGGCTCAACGAGCTGAACCAGTGGAATTGGCCAAAACAAGCGGGGTCCGGGGGGTTCCTCGAGCCGAGCAACACGCAAAGGAAGCTCTTTGCTCAGGCCCTGACCCCTGAAGAGGAGGCTGGCAGGAAGCATTACATGGGCAGCCTCCTCGCCGAAGAGGTGGAAAAATACGAAGCCAGAATCAACCAAATCAACAGAGACATGGACGAGCTGGATCTCGAGGAGATCAAAGGTCACGTCATGAGCGACCACATCCTACCGCTGTCCAGACCGGGTACCCCCATCAACATGGACCCCAGTCGCTCGATGCTATCGGCCTTATCGGGCTATCACAAAATGGAGGACATTTCCGTCCTCATCACCGCCATTGTCGTGCAGACCCTGCCCAACCTGGCAAGGCTGTCGCGCCTGCTGCAGCTGTGGCACATGCGCATCACCGTTCTTCGGCACGTCAATCCCTTTCTCCAATCCATCCAAGAGGTCGAAGCCCTTCTTGGAGAGAACTGGGAGGCCATTTCGCAGTCCCACTGGGAGATGGAGCGCCCCAGCAGGAAGGCCATCGTCTTGCCCCCGCGCATCCTGACCTCCAAGGACTTTGACGCTAGAAGGCAGTCGCTCGCGCTCAAGGTTGCCGAGCCCGGCCGGACCCTGGACTACATGCTCGACTGCTTGGAGGGCGCCCCGGACACCCTCCCGGATGAGTGGCTCACTCGCATGGAGGATGTAGAGCAGGGCTATGGCGAATGGGTCTCCGCTTGTGAGCGAAAGATGGCCGAAGCCAAGTTGGCCAAGACCAAGCCCAAGACACTTCATCTCAGGAAGAACTCTTCGCTCTCACCGTCTCCCACGAGGGCTCATGCCGAGAGCAAGCTCTCGCCGCCGTTGTTGCTGGTGCCCGGCAGCAGCGAATCGGACCATGGAGCGTACCTGGACCCCATTGCAGAGGACGAATTGTCCTCGTCTGAAGACCATCTCACGCCCGAGTCTGGCTCCGACTCTCCCAAGTTGTCTCCTGAGGATCTTGGCATACTCGATGACCGCATGTCTGCTATCAGCGAGGAAGAGGACGAGTTAGAGCTGCCACCTCTGCGCAACGGCCGCAGGCGGGGTAGCGTTGGCTCCCCGACATCCACCACACTACACCACTCCCCTAGCTACACGGACGATGTGTCGAGTGATGCTCCTGAAGTGTCTGCATCTCCCGCCATGGCCAAGAGCCGCCTCCGCGAGGCGTCTCATCCCGATGGCGACAGCCCACCAAGCTCGCCTCCAGAGGTGGCCCGACGTGCCAGGGGGGCTGCCATGGGCCTTCTCGACAGCCCCATGGTGGCAGCGACGCCCGAGGATGACGAGTCCTTCTTACAATCGACCTATGAGGATTCCTTTCTCGACGACTTTGAGGACTCGTACGCTCCCGATATCCCCGGCCCGCCTTCCCGCCGGGAAAGCGCTGGCGAACAGCAGCTGCGTCTACAGATCAGCCAGATCATTGAGTCTATACCAGCCAAAATCAGGCTCAACAACGGAACATCGGGTATCAACCTGAACCCGCCGGATCTCCAACTCCCCCGCTTGAGATCGAAACCGTCCAGGGAGCCCATGAAGCGGAGTACCTCGGGCATGTCCACCCGAACTGCCACGCCCTCTTTCACTCTGTCTCCCGTCAAGCAGAGGACGCGCTCCAAGGGCCAATATCCAATCAGGGTCTATCATCTCTCTAGGTCGGATAATGAGGCCCCCATCAAGCTGTTCATCCGCTGTGTTGGAGAAAACGGAGAGCGAGTCATGGTTCGCGTTGGCGGCGGCTGGGCCGACTTGTCCGAGTACCTCAAGGAGTACGCCAGCCATCATGGCCGCCGCTCCAACGGCAAAGACAAGGTCAAGGTGGAAGTCCGCGACATTCCTCGCGCATCTAACCCACCGACCAATGCCAGCCCTCCGAGCCGGCCACCTTCCGCTGCCGACGACCGCTCTTCCGCGAGCCCTCTAGGTGCGCGCAAGCCTCGCACCAGCAGCCTCAACAACTCCCTGCGCCCCAAGACTCCAGTCACGCAAGGTCAGGCTGCTGCAGGCACGCCTCCATCTGAAGGCTCGGCCATTTCGAGACCCAACTCACGGCTTAGCTGGGTAGAGGACGAGAGTTCCTTCTTGGGTCTAGCAGGGCCAAAGGGCAAAAAGATTGAAATGAGCGAGGAAAGCAAGGCTTGGGTGGAAAGCGTCAAGGAAAAGGTACGCATGGCCAGTGGCCCGGACAGGAAGTCCAATGAGAAGAAGTTTGGCGAGATTGGCAAAGCCGGGGGCACGAAGCGCGTGTTCAGGAGAGGCTAATCTTGACACCTTCTTTGGGCTTTTTTTTTCTCTTTTTTTTTTTTATCTCTTTTTCTTTCTTTTCTATCTATATATATATCTTGGAAGCGGGGGTGGGGGGGTTACGATGTACGTGTCGTACTTTGGCAAGCGAGAGGTCAGTTACTCTAGGTTGGGACGGGAGTTGATTTGACGGAGATGAGACGAGCCTGTCATTTTGTTATTCGCATGTTCAGCACATCATGCACGGAGTTTTGTTTGGGCGGGCATAGCATGTCATGGTGTTACAGAAACGTCTACACGAGGTGTCATTGCTGGAGCGAGTTATAGGCATTGTCGGAGGATACCCATATACCTAGCGGTTTAACATTGGAGCAATTTGTGGAAACCATATCAGTTATCAATACACAACCTATATATCTTACATTATCAGTGTTTATCTCTGCATACTCTTATAGGCCTTGGTGAGAGGAGACCGTAGTGCGGCCTTGATGAGAGGAGACTGGTAGTGCATGATACCTTTCACCTTGGGCACATCCTTCAGTAGCGCTAGAGGTACTATACCTAGTAGGTGCCTGGCAAGAACAGTACCTCCGCTGGAGCTGGAGATGGCGGGGATTAGACAAAAAACAGAATACCAAAAGAGACCAATATAGGAAGAAGATACAAGGGGTTGCATCAGAGACTCTCCTCATGAATAGCATCACATATGTTGGATTGCAAGCTCATGACATCTCCAAATTATTCGACTGCAACGCTGAAGCCTTAGGCTCAGGGACCCTGTTTCCAGGTACGCGCATTACATCATCCGGTCCCCTGAGTCCGGTGTTGCTAGTAGTTCACTCAACTACTAGGCTTATCGATAATCGGCCGAAAAAAAAAAGTTGCCAGAGGACGCTGAAAAAAAATCGAGGCAAGGCCCGCGCCAACAAAACCGCAAGCCAGAAACCTCAACACCCACCCAGCCCCCATTGAGATTGCATTAGAGAAGAAGAACGACTGCACTTCTCAAGCCGCAACAATGGGTCAAGGTCGCCGCATGAAGAGAAAGCAGGGCATGCCCGAAGCCCTGTCCGAGGAGCACTTTGCCAACCTCAAGCGAAAAGCAGGCCTCCCCGTGGAGCCGCCGGTCGAGAAGGCGTCGCTGAGCAACAAGAAGCGCAAGACGGGCGCAGCGAAGAAGCCGGAGCCCGCGCCCAAGAAGGCGGCCGCGAGCGCCAAGAGCAATGGGAAGCCGAAGAAGAAGAGTAAGCTGCCGGAGCCGGAGGCGGACGGCTCCGAGGACGAGGAGATGGGTGACGAGTTTGATCTAGACCAGCTGGAGGGCGACGAGTCTTCCGATGAGGAGGCTTCTTCGGGGGGCAAGAAGAAGAACATTTGGTCAGATGACGAGGATGAGGATGCGGAAGAGGACGACGACTCGGTCTTCGATTCGGACGACCAGGAGGAGGGAAAGAAGGGCAAATTCGTCTTCTCCGACGACGAGGACGAATCCGACGCCGAAGAGAAGCTGACGGCCGCCAACATTGCCGGTCTGTCGCGGAAACTGGACAAGAAGCTGGCCGAGGACAAGGCCATTACCGAAGCCGAGCTGCAAGAGTCTGCGATGCAGACCAACATTGACGGACCAAAGATCTTTGGCGAGGGCCTCGAGGATGACGACGAGGAGGATGACCTGGCCAAGAAGAGCCAGGCCCTGCTGGCGCCGGATCTGCAGCTGCTGCGACAGAGGATAACGGATAACATACGGGTGCTGGATGATTTTGCCAACCTGGCTGAGGAGGGGAGGTCGAGGGCGGAGTATACTGCTCAGCTGCTCAAGGATATCTGCGGTGTAAGTCCTTTTACTGTCTCCATGCCTTTTTTTTTTGCTGCCCAGAGTCAAGTCTCTTACTTGCATGGATGTGCGCCGCGCTGACACGAATTCTCTTTTTCTCGAGATTACAGTACTACGGCTACAGCCCCTACCTGGCCGAGAAGCTCTTCAACCTCTTCACCCCCCGCGAGGCCTTTGCCTTCTTCGAAGCCAACGAGATGCCGCGTCCCGTCGTTATCCGAACAAACACCCTGCGGACGCACCGAAGAGACCTTGCTCAGGCGCTCATCAACCGCGGCGTCACGCTCGAGCCCGTGGGCAAGTGGAGCAAGGTCGGCCTGCAGATTTTCGAGACCAACGTGCCCCTGGGTGCTACGCCCGAGTACCTTGCTGGTCATTATATTATCCAGGCTGCTGCCTCTTTCTTGCCGGTTATGGCGCTTTCACCGCAACCGTGAGTCTCTGAATATGCTATTTATGGAGTTTGAAGCGCAAAAAGCTAATGGTTATTTGTACCAGGAATGAGCGAGTTCTTGATGTACGTGCTCTGACTATCTCATACAAACTATGACTTCTTCCACGGCGGGGTTCAGCTTGCGAGATGATACTGACATTCTGAGTAGATGGCCTCTGCCCCCGGTGGAAAAACGACTTACTGCTCAGCCATGATGAACGTACGTCTTGACAACCCCAGAGAGCCCTCATAAGAGATAATGGCGCCGCTAATATCTCCCCAGAACACCGGTGTCGTCTTCGCCAACGATCCCAACAAGGAGCGTGCCAAGGGTCTGATTGGTAACGTTGCTCGTCTGGGCGTTCGAAACGTCATCGTCTGCAGCTACGACGGTCGCGAGTTTCCCCGAGTCATGGGAGGTTTCGACAGGTGAGCATCTCTCAACGGCTTGAAACAACCAAGAAAGGGCGGAAGAAACTGACTACTGTCCAAAGAGTTCTCCTTGATGCCCCCTGCTCCGGAACGGGCGTCATCTCAAAGGACCCCAGCGTCAAGACCAACAAGGACGAGAAAGACTTCATCTCACTGCCGCACATGCAGAAGCAGCTGTTACTATCAGCCATTGACTCTGTTAACCACGCCAGTGAGACGGGTGGTTTCCTTGTCTACTCGACATGTAGTGTCACGACTGAGGAGAAGTAAGCTCGTCCTTCTGTCACCCCCTTCTTATAACCTCGAAGGAGATCGATCTAACCATTTTTTTCAAACACAGCGAGGCCGTCGTCAACTACGCCCTGTCCCGTCGCCCCAACGTGAAGCTCGTCGACACCGGCATCCCCTTTGGCAAGGAGGGCTTCACCAGCTTCATGGGCAAGAAGTTCCACCCCAGCCTCAAGCTCACCCGCCGGTTCTACCCGCACGCGCACAACATTGACGGCTTCTACGTCGCCAAATTCCAAAAGATTGGGCCGACGCCGCCCAACGCCATTGGCGCCGCCGGCAAGAAGTCTGGTGGTGCGGCCGCTGATGCGGAGGTGGAGGTCATTGACAAGACGCCCATCGCTACGGATGATGATGACGTCGAGTCTGAGGAGAAGAAGGCGGGCAAGAAGGGTAAGAGCAGCAACGGCACTTCTTCTTCTTCTTCTGGCAAGGGCGATTTCAGCGCTTTCGATGAGGAGGAGGATGTCAAGTATATCGAGAAGGCGAAGAGGAATGCTATGCGGAGGAGAGGTCTGGATCCTAGGGCTTTGAAGAAGCCTAAGGCTCAGGAGAAGAAGTAGAGAAAGAATTCGGGAGTTGAGGTTTGAAAAGAAGCGCGAGATTTATATACTGTTAATGGCATGGTATAAGAAGAGGTGCCTTTGGAGACGAAAGAGGGGAATTTGTTGGGTCTGGTTGGTTCTTTGCTGTTATTTCTCATGGGATGAGCATTGTGGATTACGGTCACATTGTGGGTTATAAAATGCTTCGATTTCATATAAAATCTCAATCCCAGTTTACTTTCAAAAGAGAGACTTCTTCGCCGATTGAGCGTGCCAGAACATGACAAAGTGAGACTTTAACCGATTGCATTCATTCCCTAAATCCCATAAAATATGCCAAGTAAAACCATCTAGTCATCCATAACATTCGCCGCCGGCCCTCTCCTCGTCTTCCTGCCCATGCCCTTCGGCGCCCCCTTCTTGTAATGCTTCTTCCCGGACCCAATCTGCACGTCCTTGGGATCCAGCCCGTTCTCCAGGGCAATCGCCGCCCTGGCCTTGCGCCCGCTGAGCATCTTGGAGCCGGCAGCCGTGCTGCCGCTGCTGCTGCCCTGCTCGCTGTACTTGTAGTTGAACGGCATGCTGACGTGGCCGCGGACGTTCTTGGGCGTGAAGAAGCTCTTGTCCAGCTTCTGGGACTTGGGGCCCTGCGGGAGGGAGACGAACTCGGAGGCGAGGCTCTCGTCGTCGTCGGCGCCGCCGCCGCCGAGGGAGAGGGCCTCTGTGGCGGCTACGAGAGCGGCGCGGCGGCGCTCGGGGAGATGGGCTTCGTCGTAGAGCTCGGCGTTGAAGGCCTTTTCGTCGTCGATGCCGGGGGGAGGGTGGACGAAGAGGAGCTTCCCGTTGACGTAGTCCTTGAGGATGTACCTCGACGCTCGCGCCTCGTCGGGCTGACCCAGGCCCTGCGTCTGGAAGCCTCGGGCGGTGGCATACGCACGGAGCAGCTCCTCGGCGGTCGGAACGCCGGTGCCTCCCTCCTCGACCGGCCGCGTGTTGATCTTGATGCCGTAGATGGCTTCCAGGAAGGGCTGCGGGATTCTCTTGGCGACCAGGCCCACGGGGCCCGAGTGCTCGCGCATCTGGTCAATGGGCAGCACGCCCTGGGTGACGAGATCGGCCTTGGTGGTGGCGAAGTTGGGGAACACGAGACCGGGACAATCGCACAGGATGACGCGGTCGCTGAGGTGGATGGTCTGGAAGTGCTTGGTCTTTCCGGGGGTGGAGGAGACGGAGACTTTCTTGGCTCCGATGAGGGCGTTGATGGTGGAGGATTTGCCGACGTTGGGGTAGCCGACGAGGCCGACTTGGAGCTTGTGGTCTGACGCTGTGCAGTGAGTTAGCATGTTGAAGTGTCTGGCTTCGAGGAGTCAGGATTTTGTTTTACCTCTATCGGTAGGGGCATATTTTAGGAAAATCTCCTCCAGCTCTTCGACTGTGAGAATCTGAGTATCCTCGTCTTCTACCGGCGCTTTGCCCTTTGAGCTCTCTCGCTGTTCCGCCTCGTCTTCATTCTCAGCCTCAGCCTCCTCTTGGTGAGCTTTTCGGGCTTGATTCGATGAGGAAGATGGCTCCTCGTCTGATGACTCAACATCCGCATTCTCTCTCGCTTCAATCATCTCCTTTGCAAGCTGTGCAGAAAAGAACTTGTACGCAATGCCTGCCTCTCTCAGATGCTTCGCCCATGCCTTGCGCTGCTTGGGCGTCATCATATCGGCCTTGTTGATCAGAAGCAAGTTCTCCTTCTTGGGGTCAACCGCCTTGACGTATGATTCCAAGTCCTCGGATCGGAACAGCAGGGGGTTTCTCGCATCCACAATCTGCACAATGAGATCTGATCGCTCAATGACTCTCCACAGCTGTCTCCAAACTTCAATGTTTCGTTCAAACGGCGTCATCAGCAGGTCGTTGTTCTCCTGCAGCTCCGCCAGTCCCCTTCGCCATGCTACAAGAGCCTCTCGCTCCCGCCTGTCGAGCTCCTGCGGCGTCGTCGAGGCATCCCACTGCGGCCTCCGCGGGACCGTCAGCCGGTTCTTGTGTTGTCGGTGCTTGCCCAGGACGGCTCGCTCTTCGGTGGCGGACAGCAGGTAGGGATTCCTCTGGTCGGTGTGGATGATCTTGACGTTGTTCATCTTCTCGGCCGTGAAGTCGGTGCCGGCCAGCTCGGCAGTGGCCAGGAACTCGTCCAGCGCGCCCTGCTCCGTGACGGAGCGCATCTTGACCCAGGCGGCATCCTTCTTTTCGTTGACCAGATACTGTTCGCCCGTCGTGTGGTTCGTGCGCATGACGGCCGACGTCTTCTTGTGGTCGGAGCCTCTGCCCTTGCCGAAGCGGTCGTTCATCAGCGTGTTGCCGAGCCCCTCATTCTTTTTCGACTTTGCCAACACCATCTTTGCGGCTTTGTCTGATACTCCTGATTCTGCGACTCAAAATGACTTCAGAATCCTTCTGTCTGTATGTCCTCGGTCGCAGAGAGGACAAGACGGAATAGAATATTGTGTTTGTGGAAGGTCGGTGGTATCTGCAGGTTTGCGGGCTGAATAATACATCAGCGATGGAGGGGCAAATTTTTTGGATAGTCATGCGAAAAAGTTCTTCACACTGTAATTGGATGCGCAGTAACAGGGATCCATACAGTACTATCGGGCGCCGGACTGTACTGGCGCTACCAGGAAATTTCTTGAAGTCCTGCGGTAGGTCCACGAGCCCGCTTCTGTCCATGCTCAACTGATTCAACGCAAAGCGCAAAATCGCCAAAATGCCCAAGGGAAAGTGGATGTACGTTTGATTTCCGTTGCTCCGTGTATATTGAAGCTGCTTGAGCACTGCTGACTCTCTGTGATAGCAACAAGAAGACGGCGCAGCACTTCACGCTCGTCCACCGCCCGCAAAATGATCCGCTCATCCACGACGAGAATGCGCCGTCCATGGTGCTGAACCCGGTCCAGACAAAAGCCGGCTCAAAAGTAAAGCATCTGGATGATTTGGCATCTGAGCTGGGCTCAGATGCGGCAGGCATCCGCGCCAACGAAGGCGAGGCCGCAAACTACGGCGTCTACTTCGACGACACCGAATACGACTACATGCAGCACTTGAGAGACCTCAACTCGGGCGGCGGCGATGTCGTGTTTGTCGAATCTACCGCGACTCAGAACAAGGGCAAGGGCAAGCAGAAGCAGTCGCTGGAAGATGCTCTGCGGAAGATGGACCTCGAGCCGAAGTCTGGCGATATTCTGGACGAGGAAATACTGCCATCTAAGAATCTCACCAGATTAACCTACCAGGCCCAGCAGGATGTGCCAGATGCCATTGCTGGATTCCACCCCGATATGGACCCTCGGCTGCGAGAAGTCTTGGAAGCCTTGGAAGATGACGCATATGTTGACGATGATGAAGATGTCTTTCAGCAGCTGTCAAAGGACGGAGAAGAGCTTGACGACTACGATTTCGAGAACATGGGATTCGATGACGGCGAGGACGATGGATGGGAGTCGGATGCCACAGCAAAGCCTACCAAGGAATACAAGGAGCAGGTACCAGAACTCGTCAAGGTTGAGCCAGAAGAAGGCCCGTCAGAAGACTGGATGGAGGACTTTAAGAAGTTCAAGAAAGACCAAAAGGGGCAGCGTGGACAAGCGGCCCCTTCACGCTCGGGAGTTGAATCCATGTGGACAACAACAACCAACGGAGGCAGGACGAAGAAGCGCAAGGGCGCACTGACGAACGCCTCAGCCTACTCCATGACGTCCTCGTCGCTAGTACGGACAGAGCAGCTTTCATTGCTGGACGAGAGGTTCGAGAGACTGGAGGCTCGCTACAACGAAGATTTCGATGATATGGGCTCCGTGTCTGAGGTGTCAACGGCCTCGAGCGTCCAAGGACCCATCCGGGGAGACTTTGATGGTATTCTGGATGACTTCCTTGGCTCCTACACAAAGCCTGGAAAGCGCACATCAAAGAAGTCAAAGGCGCAGACGGGATTGGAGCAGCTTGATGAAATTCGGCGAGAACTGGGGCCTCCACGCATTCGGGGCCGTGTCAAATCATGATGGCATGAGCGGGATCTGGAAAAGACGGGCCGGCGCAACGTGTGAAGAAGAATTGAATCAAGGACTAGCGAATTTTCATTGTCACAAACTATGTTTCACCTTTCACCTTTTGTTCTTCTTTTGTGACTTATAAGTGAGGCGCTCTTGAGTCTCCCAAAGGTACCTAGTACTAGTATAGATCAGATGAAGACGCAGATGAATAAAATGGTTCCCACCGCTTCAGCTCGTCTCTCTTTGTCAACTACTTGGTCTTGCTTTCTTTACAATTGGTCAATTCTCATTTTCTCCAAATACAAAAAGCTTACACTTGACTCGTTATTCTTCTATCGTCTCCTTATTTGAAGCCATCGTCTCTTTTCCCTTATAGTGATCAGTCTGTCGAATCGCGAGTTCGCTGCAGACCAGCATCACGTGACGCCCAATTCTCGTACCGCGAAGCTCAATCCCAAGGTCCGGCCAAGCTTCTGGCATCGCGCCTCAACAGCCACGGCATTTCCAGCAAAAACCCTCCCGTCAAGAGTCTCGCCCCAAGCACCTCCTCCTCCATGCGCAAAATCATCACGTAGATGAATGCGACGTCCGTTGCATCATCGAGCCAAATGTTTTCCCCGTTCAGCCAGAAGACGCAAGGCTCGTCGCAGGCGTTCAATCCTTTCGCCCCTCGACCGGCCGGCGAAGGAGCTTCATTTGGTTCCGGTGGTGCAGGCGGCTCCGACTCGCAGAAGAATAACAAGCGCAAGAATGGCTTCGCCAGCGGCAGCGACACCGAGAGGAAGCCCAAGGCCGGCAATCCGTTCCAGGTCAAGGATGGGAATGGGAGCCTGAGCGACAGCGGGAGGCAGGGGAAGAAGCGAGGCGGCGACGGGGAGAAGAAGAAGAAGTCGTCAGAGGTCAAGAGGACTCAAAAGAAGGAACGCGGTGGTGCAAATGGGCTGCAGGTGCAGAGAGCCGCGCAGGCTGCCACGAGTGCCGAAGAAGACAGCACGTCACGCCCCAGCTCGTCTTCGAGTGCGAGCTCCGTCGACGAGACCTCCGACACCGCGGTCATGCGCGCCACCGATCCGTACACGAAAAAGGTGTACGACCAGCTGCGGAAGGATGGCATCAGTCCCCCGGCCTGGCCGTCCCAGCCTGGAGATCCGAAGAGCAAGGTGGAGATGGCCAAGTTCAGGGAAAAGTACGAGGATTATCGACAAAAGGTGCGCGCCTCGCTCACGAAAGCGGCTCTTATCGACGACCCGAACAAACGAAAGACGCTCGAAAACGCCATTACCTTCCAAGGTATCTGCGAGGACATGTGCTCCGAGTACGAAAAGATTACGCGAATCACCGAGCTGGATGTTCCCCAGCCGGAAAGGGATGCACGGACAGGAGTTGCAAAGACGAGCCGAATGGTCAAGAAGCTGGCGCGCTCGGCTGCCGGGCAGGAGGCTCCTCTCCCAATGGACGTCCGCTCTACAGCTGCCTTACGACGGACTCTAGACTACCTGATCGACGACCTGCTTCGCAACGACGACAACCTGCCAATTCTACACGGCTTCTTGTGGGATCGGACGCGAGCTATTCGCCGAGACTTTACCTTTTTCTCGTCCCCTACGGTCGACGACTTGAAGACGCAGGCTTATGTACTGGAGACCATTGCGAGGTTCCACGTCACAGCACTGCATCTTCTGTCACAACCAGGAAAAGCTGGCGAAGATTTTGTGGAACAGCAGGAACTCGAGCAACTTGGCAAGGCCCTACTTTCTCTCCGAGATTTGTACGACGACTGCAATGCTCAGGGCATCACTTGCGAAAACGAGGCCGAATTCCGCGCATACTATGTGCTGTTTCACGCTCACGATTCAAACACAGCTGAGATGCTGCAACGACAGTGGAAACCGCATTTCTGGAGGGACTCGGACGACATCAGGACCGCCGTATCGCTTGTCGAAGCCTTGCAAAACACCAACGACTTCCACCCCCCGCTGAAACCGGCTCCGTCCCTGGCGGCAGCTAATGCTTTCCACTCATACTTTCGAATCGTCGAAGATCCCAGCGTCTCATACACGATGGCATGTTTTGCGGAATGCCACTTCCCACAAATTCGCCGGTCCATCCTGCGGGCTGTGAGGAGAGCATTGGCCCGGCCCAAGGATACGACAAACGATGTGACGGCTGCTGCCTTGAACAAGTTCCTTCGGTTTGACACTACCCAAGAGGCTATCGATTTCGCGAAGCTACACGGTCTTGACTTTGTTCCAGACGCGCAGGCTCCCATGGACGTCAACCGGCAACTCCTGGTCCTGAATAACAGGGGGCCTCTATTGCACCCGCGACTTCACCATCAGTTCTCACAAACCTTGGTCGAAAAGAAGCGACAAAACCGGCCATTGCCAGATGTGATTCATAAAACAGTTTATGAAGACTCAACGGGTTCTTTACCCGGTGCCGTCTCCTTGAAGAACGAGGCATCTCTCTTTGTGGGAGGTTCAGTGCCGGGAACTCCGGCCGAGTCTCCTTTGATGAACTCGCAACGATCGCCTGCGTTCGGCCAGCCTCTCAGCGGGTTTGGGAGCAACCTTGCCGGTACGCCCAAAGGTAGAGCTTTCTTCCCTTTGCAAAGACACAATCGCCAGCCATGTCTCGCATTCATGGTCCCTGCCGTTAACTAACTCGGTTCTAGCACCAGAACAACCGACCAACATCTTCGGAGCCCCTGAAGCACCAAAATCAACTTCACCATTCTCGAATCCGTTTGCTTCCGCCGCGACACCCACGGCGACAGCTTGGGGCAGCGCTCCTACTTTCGGTTCTACAACGCCTGCTGTGCCTTCGACCAAACCACCAGCAGCAACCAACCCTTTCGCACCCGCCATCACGTCAAGCAGTACTTCCGCAAAGCCCCCTACTCAACCAACAATTTTGGGTGGAGGCACCCCTATCAATCCCTTCGCAACGGCAGCGCCAGCGCCTTCGACGACATTCCAGGGGTTCCAGAGCAAATCACCCTCTCAACCGCCAGTTCCATCCCCAGAAAAGCAAGGCAGTCTCCCGTCGACACCCTCGCCTACGACTGTGAACGGAATTGTGCCTTCGCCACAGATAACCTTTGGCAATGTTGGAGAAAACAAGCCAGCCGTATCAGGGCCCTTTGGTGGTTTTCAGACCCCTCAACCATCTGCATCTTCTCCAGCTGCAGATAGAGCTAAAGTGGGAACAAGCCAGCCCAACTCCAGTTTCTTTGCCTCTTCATCACCGGCTTCTGCTCCAGCAAGCGCAAGCAAGTCGACTACGTCTATGGCCGTACCGGCAATTCCTGCTTTTCCTGGTTCAACAGTATCCCCTGGCTCAGGAGCAAAACCGGCGGAAACTGCGCAGGGTCAAGCTCAGTTCAATCTGAACAACAAGCCATCGCCCTTTTCACAACCTGGTGGAAACTTCACCTTTTCTTCGCCAAGTTCATTCGGAAACCAAGCACCCAAGGATGGCCCGTCCATCGCGCCCTCGACATCACTTTCTAGCCCCCCCTTTGGATCCGAAAAGAAAAGTATCCAGGAACCCGTCAAGGTTCCACCCTTCTCTGGCTCTGCGCAGCCTTCCCCAAGCAATTCTACCGGGTTCAAATTTCCGAGCTCCGATAGCTTGAAGAAGGTGGATGGTAGCACCACCACCCCCATCACATCGCCTCCTCCCTCGGCCGCGCCATTTGCCTTCTCAGCCCCAGGCCTGGCTACTCCTACTCCTACTCCTTCTTCTGCTCCAGCCCCACAACCTGCGAGTCCTCCACGCGATCCGCTTGGCGATTTTACAAAGTGGTTCGTCAATGGAGACAATGGGCTGATGAGGGAATTCGAGGTGTTCATGGTAGAAAGCATCGTCCGAGAAACTTATGACAAGTTTCAGAAGGATGAGGAAGAGAGGAAGGCCAGAGAGAAAGAGGAAAGGGACAATGCGGAAGCTAAGCGATTCCGAGTATACAATCTTTCTCTCAAATACTTTTACCGCTGGAAGAGAAACGCCCGAGAGAAGCGGCTGAGGCATCTTCGTCGAAGCGGACGCGATCAATTCCGTGCGTTTCGCGAAGCTCAGCGAGCAGCACAGCTCAGGGAACAGCAAGAAAATGCCCAACGGATTGCGAAACAGCAGGCGGAACTTGCTGCTCTCAATCGACCTGATGAGCTGGCAAGTATTTTGAAGAGGAACCAGCGGAACAAGAGGAAAGCGGAAGAAGAAGCACTGCTTGCGTCCGGCGTCTTGTCCGGCGTTTCCAACGAACGGAGAGCCGTTTCCGCCATCTTTCGCAACGATTACCGACTGTCCCCCACGCCCTCGTCGATTAATGGGAGCCAGGGGGTTAGGTCTCGCTCTGGGTCGATCGCTAGCACCGAGGGCGGCTCAAAGACGCGAGCATTGCGCGAACGGCTCATGGGTGAAAAGCCCGGCCGCTTTCATCGTTCTCTGCCTTCTGTTTCGGCCGATAGCTCGCCGCCGGAGAAGACGCGCGTCAGCAAGGTCTCAGAGCGCTGGCGGCTCAAAGCCATGGGCATCGTGCAGATGCCGGACGGGACTGCTCTCCCCGAATCCATGGTGGATGAAATCAAGCGCGGCCTTAAGAGGGACACGAGTCTCAGGAGGGACACGAGTCTCAGGAGAGACGCATCACTTCGACGGGCGTCCATCACCTCGGCAGCGTCAGCGAGGCCACAGAGCCCCCTCCTCGCCTTCAAAGCGTCCAGGAACGACCCCTTCGCCGACAGTCCGCTCACTATTAACAATAAGCGAAAGCGATCTTTCGGGGACGAGGGCGAAGGCGAAGGCGAGACGGCCAAGAAGACAGTGGAGGAGGAGGATAATACGGACACGGATTCTCACAAGCGCGTCATGAGCGACGCGGAGCTATTGATACAGGAGCTCAGGGCGATGAGGCAGGAGATGGAGGAGGGCACGACGTGGTTCAAGTCACAAAATGGAAAGCTACAGAGCGATATATTGAGCAGAGGGGGTACTCCTCTGGAAAACGAAAGCAGCATCATATGAGGTGGCATAGGCGTTTGGGGAGGGCAAAGGGGAGGGAAGGAAATGAAAGGGAATTGATAATTTTCCTGTGTCTTTTTCCTTGGTCTTTTTTTCCTCTCTCTCTCTCTTGTTTGTTTTCATGTTCTTTTACTCCCTTGAGGAAACAGAGTCACACATGTCGAGAGAGGGGAAGGGGGCAAATCATTGCATGGTAATACAGGTTTTTCCATTGTTTTTTGTCATCGTTTTGAGAACATTGCCGTTTCACAAGTCGCTCGACATCCGATGATCTTCTTGCTGCTGCTTTTGGTCTTGGCTTTCCGTTCGATTGCCTGAAGGAGATGAAGGGGATGGATGATAGGGGCCTTGTGGTAAATGCGGGATACCCATGAATATGAATTGTGGCGGACTGAAGCCTGGGAAGTGGTCTGCCGTAGCTGTTCAGACGCGATTGCAACGGTTTTCTTACGCAAGCAGATACGATCTCTCTTCCCAATTTGGGGCATGGTCATGTCTATATCTTTGCCTCTCTAGGTCTTCTCTAGCGGTAGCGGCCCAATGAGCAAGCGTGCTTTGTTTGGGTTTTCTCTGATATATTATGTCCTTGCAGTGATCAGACTGGCATGGGTAAAAAATTGACTTGAAGCTATCATAAATCATTCAAAGGCTCGTACATTAACCCAACTACACCCCTTATACACAGCCGGTTACTTTCACATCGACACGGTCAACATGTCGTATCGTACAACACAGTGCGTCAGATTCCAAGCACTTAATCGTCTCAACATGACACCACCCGAGACTACCTCGCTCCACGGGTAGGCGGCGGTGGAAAAGAAGTGATGAGTATATCGCTCTGCGCGGGACTCCCCACGCTTGTCCTACTCTTCTTCTTGCTGATCAGCCCAAGAGCATTGGTGATTCCCCCATTCTCCTCTTCCCACTTTCTTTCAGGTCGTTGGGGCCTCGGAGTCGGTGACCAGCTGGACGGGCTCAAGTGAGGAGAAGGGGTATATCCTGGGGGCTGATGGCTAAGAAGAGGCGCGTTGGAGCGAGTCGAAACAGCGGACGCTGGCGTTGCAAAGTCGTCAGGCGAGGAAGCCCGAGGTGATATGTATGCCTGGGATGGCGGCGACAAAGCCGTGACAATACTTGGCCTCGTCACTGGGCCCTGCTGTCTGTTGATGCTGACGGTCAACGAGCTTTGGCTATTCCAGGGATATTGATGGGCGGAATACGGGCTGGCTCCAAGGCCGGTGGTGACCATGACATGCGCGTTCTTTTCCCCATTTGAGGTGACGTTTGTCTGAACATCCTCAGGGAACCTTGGAGTGACGGGCGTCACTCTGGTCTGGCAGCGGAAAGAATAGTCAGATGTGCGGTTCTGCTGTCTCGCGCGGTTCCTGCGCTTGCGAACACACACAAAGATGAAACCTGCGACCAGCGCAAGTAGGACGGCGCCACCAACAGCGATGCCTACGATTCTCGAGCTGGAAATTTTGGGGCCATCATTTGCGGCTGGGGATGATGGGTCGAGAACTTGGATGGTGTCATCGCCAAAGATGGTATTGTTGAGTATGAGGATGTCGCCAGGGGCAGGCTTTGACCTGCATGCACCTTGAATCGTGAGAAGGACTAAGAGAAAGTATCAGCAACAAACAAGGGGTTAAAGGGGGTCAGCATATAAAGGACGTACAATTAGATAGATATTGATGATCTCCATCGGCCCCAACGCACCCCAAGCATCCCTCGACATCGTCACTCGTGATGGCGCCTCCACTTGCATCGCAATAGTCATAGAGGGTCGAGTTGTTTGGATCCTTGATGCCAAACTCAAGAGCCGAGGCTAGGTTGCCGCACCCTTCGGATGTCGTGCAAGGGCCGGAGTCAATGCCGGTGCTGTTCGGGTAGCCAAACATGCAGTAGCTAGAAGAATACCGCAGGTTATCTATGGTATCGTTAGCCACGGCTTCCATAAGCGTTCACAGAGCAGAAGGACTTACAAAGGAACCACTGCTGGTCACTCTCGCCATCATGGGTGTAAGTGCTGTTCTGCAGGCACGTGAAGCAGCTCTTCAGCTTCTGCCCCTTTGATGTACCGTCCAAGTCCTGGTCATTGCAGACAACGTCTTCCCATTGGTGATTGAAGAACTTTGGATCGGATTGCGATGAGTCGGAGGTGGTGCAGACGCTTGTGCATGGTGAATTCGGGGAGACTTTGAAGGCGTTCGCGAATGATAAGGCCGTGATGAACAAGGGGAGGATTCCGCGACCGATTGGCATATGCAGCATCTTCTCTACAATAGTTTCGGTTGGTGGGAGTAAATGAGATTCGGTAGAGATAGGGCTGTATCGGAGGCGGACAGCTGAATTCTTGATATGAAAGAGCGACTGATGCCAAAGGCGTAATCAAAGATGAGAAGCCAATGTTTAAGGAGCGTCTCAACACTGCGCAGAGAAAGAATGTCGCTATCGCAGCGTCCCTAATCCGTAAATGTAAAGGCAAGATAGTTCGGCCCATCAACAGGCAAGCAATATCTATATCGCAACAGGGTTGCAACACAGCAAAGAAAAAAGCCAAGCGAGAAGAAACACAACAGATGGGTATCAATATGAGAGAAGGAGAGAGAGGGAGACAAGAAGCGAGTGAGAATCTGCCGAGTCAAAGCCAAGTCGAAGCAGCAGATGCCGCCCATAATATCCTTAGTCCGTCAAGGCATTGACGCTTGAATCATGGCTTCAATAAGCTTGTTGATCCCAAGGCGCCGGTGACGAGACTATCGTGACAGCAGCAAGGACACGGCGGCAAAAACCATGTGTTCTTGGACTTGTTCCTGCATTGAGACGGCAGACGATGATTTGCTTGCCGCCCGGTCCTGGACACCCCCTCGCTTAAGGGCTCTCAGCTCCCCCGTCGGTGATATCACACACCCACAGTCGCTCTCTGTATGTCTGTCAGTCTCGGTCTCTCTTGTAGGGCGCTTGCCCGCATCTTCAGCAACTTCTTCAGCTTGGTCCGGGGCTTGATTTCATGTCTCTCTCTGCCATCCCACTCGGCCGACAATATTCATCACACCGGCCTCGATACCAGCATCCCTGCTCATCGCATCGCATCGCATCGCATCGCATCGCATCGACAGCCTCCACGTGAGGCGGTGGGCACATCACTCAAAACCAATCCAATTTCACCATATCACAGACAAGATCAGGCACGAAGGGAAACGGCGGGAACTAGGAAGGAAACAGTTAAAGGCATCGTCAATTGCCGTCCAATAGGAAGCGATAGAAACCCGCTTGCAGAAGAAAAACGCACAAACTATTAGATGGAGAGCAGAGTGAGCGCCTAGCCAATCGAACGAGCGCGAAAGTGCAATTGGTGAGAGGAGGAAGAAAAATGAAGAGGCACGATTTGGAAAAAAGAGGTGTGATGACGGCATGCAAGAGAGTCGGCGCTTAATTTCTGCGTGACTCCACGTGAGTTTGTGCCCAATGCCGCCTTCCGTTTCAGGAATCAGGTTGAAGAGGCAGGAACAAGTTTTACTGAACAAAGTGAAGTTGCCTCCATTGAATTGCTTCTCATAATAGGTACCTGCCCTACATTCACAGGTGCTTCACATGCAAACTGACAGTTGTAGCATACCTACGTAAGGTAAGGTAGGAGGTAGGTAGAATAATGTACGAATTGATACCTAAACGCCAATTGCCCGATATCCCCAATTCTGGGTTAACTAGAAAAAGAAAAAGAAAAAGGTGCAAGACGACCAACGTCCATATCGACAACAGGCTCCCACGCCAGGAAGCTTCACAATGGAACAGATTCTTCATCAGTCTGCATCTTGCTTCTTCCACTTCCACTTCCACACACTCTGCTTTTCTTCCCCTTCTTCCCTTAATCGCTGTCCTCGTCGTCGCCCTTGCCCCCCTTCTTGGCTGCCTTGGCCGCCTTCTTCTCCGCCTTCCGTCGTTTCCGCTCAGCCTTCTCCTCGGCTGTCTCGCCCTCGTGCTTCTTTCGCTTCTTCTTGTCCTCGTCGGCGGCAGGAGTCTCTGCGTCGCCCATCTTGGCATCAGCCTGCTCGCTCTTGGAGGGCAGGACAGGGATCGAGGTGGTGGCGGGAGCGGCGGCAGCAGCAGCGGCAGAGGCATCTGACGCGCTGAAGTCCTTGTACTCCGAGGTCCACTTGGCGGGAGTGGCATCGTTGGGTCGGCCGAACTTGTCCAGCTTGCCGTCGGCCTTGAGCTTCTTCTTCTCCTGGGCGACGGGTCCGAGGCCCCATCGTCGGGGGTACAGGTCACGCTCCATGATGCAGCGCTTGACCTTGGCCACAACTCCGTGGTCGCACGTAGACATCTCAACCGTGGACATCTGGGCAATACCAATGGCAATAGCCTCACCCTTGGTGGTCATCAGGACAACCTCTTCGTGGTGCTCAATGCCAGACTCTGTGGGGAGCTTCAGTCAGCGACAAATCCAAACATTTGACCAGGCTTCTAAAGCTCTATTCATTAGGAAAACATACCATAACGCAGGAGACCGGGAAGCATAAGCTTGGCACCGTAGCAAACGGCGTTGACGGCGCTGTCCTTGACGACAAGACGCTTGTAGCCCAGGAGCAGAGTCTCCAGCGGCTTAATCACACGACGCAGGTAAGACTCGTCGCGAGTGTTGTCCATGGTCCACTGAGCATCCAGCACGTCGTGCAGAGTGACGAGGTGCTTGGTCTCGTCCATGGCTCCGGATCGCACACGTCGGAGCTCCTGCATGTGGGCACCGACACCCAGCAGCAGACCCAAGTGCACGCACAGAGTTCGGATGTAGGTACCAGCCTCGCAGCTCACCCAGAAGACACCCAGGTGACGGTCATTGTCAAACTCAATGAGCTTGCTCTCGTGGATGGTTCGGATACGGAGCTGGCGCTTGACGGCAGAGATCAGGGGCGGGCGCTGGAACAGGGCACCGGTGAGGGTCTCGAGGGCGCGGGCGAACTGGGCCTGGCCGCCGGGCAGCTTGTCATGCAGGCGGATGATGGCCACGTACTCCTTTCCGGCTCCTTGCTGGGACTTGACCAGTCGAGTGGCTCGGTCGATGCAGACAATCAGGCAGCCCGTGACCTTGGGGTCGAGGGTACCGCTGTGACCAGTCTTCTCAACACTGTACCAATTCTCATTGTTAGTTCCATCATGTCAGGGACGAGGGAAACTGATTGGAATCCCAATCGGCGACACAAACGCAGGTCGGCACGAACCGAAGAATCCGCTTAACCCAGGAGACAACCTCGTGACTAGAAGGGTTCGAAGGCTTGTCGAGGTTGATGACTCCCGAGCTAATGTAGGATTTGAGATCACGCTTCAGCGGCGCAGATCCGTTGGGGATCGGGGTGAAGTGACCGGTTCGCACAAGGACTAGAGAGGCGAAGAAGAAAAGAAGAGGTTAACAGAAGGCTCTCTCTTATTGATGCGTATGCCTTGTTTCCATGCGCTGCTCCAAGGACGCTTTAACCACCTCTCGCCACGTCCAATTGAGAGCTCGCATTCCATCCAGCACGCGCAAAAGCATCAGATCAGGCTCTTCACTCACGATTGTCATAGTTCTTGAGCAGCAGCGGCCACTTGCTGGTGTCAACAGGAGGAGTCACAGCCTGGGGCTTGATGATGTGCTCCTCCTGCTCCTTCTTGTTCACGACAACCGCCATCTTTGCAGTCGCTTCTCGAACAAATCGATCAGAAGTGCGAATATTCGAGAATCGAGAACGAAGGAAGAGATTGCAACGTCTGGCGGGTTCAGCTGAGGGAGACGATGCTGGCGCGCTCGTTGCAGGTCGTGATGGTGTTTTTTTCCTTCTCCGAGTTCTTCTACGAACATTGAGCTTCCAGTTTTTTTTTTTTTTTTTTCCTTCGCTCTGTGGGGCAGAAACTTTGCGTCCCCGAAATTGTGGCGCCAATTAGTCGCTAGGCTTAACAGGGCCAAGCGTCAACTCAAAGCCACAGATTTGGCGTCAACCAGCCACACAGACCAGTCGATGACTGCTTAGTCAGCACAAGTGTCGGGTTCGCTCAGAGGCATCGTGGTGAGAAGGAGCATTGATATCACCCGACTTCAGCCTCATAAGAAGCCGCAAGTTGTTCTTTCAAGACATCTCATCAATTGCAAATGAACATCACTCAGCGTGACACTCGCAAGTTCAGATTTATAACTCATTGCGAGAAACAGGCAGCCTCAAAGCGCTATTGGGTATCCCCATCATCCAACTTGAACCCACCAAAACACATCTTCGATCGTAACACCAACAGAGAGGTATATGCTCAAAATCACCCCAAAACACCACGCACAGAGAAACAAGCAGTAAACAATCAAAGGAAAATTGAGACTCGCCAGACCCCGGAAGCAAAGGACTTGTTCATGCATCGTGACCATTACTTGGCCCAGCTGCCTCCAGTTGAACCCCCTCCCTCACATCGCATTCCCATTGACGTCGTATTGCCTCGGCGGGCTATCAGAATTTCTTCCGTAACCAGGATGGCTCAGGATCGGAGCTTGGACGTGGTGAACCGGCTGCTTGTTGGCGGGCACACCACCACCAGCACTGTCGACATATTGCATCTCGTATGATTCCTCCTTCATCTTGCCCTTGTCTTCCGGCGACGCTGGCCATCGCTCGTGGTTCGCATTATTGACATCAATGGCTGAACCGAGTGCGAGCCCAATCTCGCGCGGCGACCGAGGAGAGCCCAGCGCGGGTTCTGGCCACGGCATGTGGTTGACGTCTGTTGAACTGATGGGGCTGTTGAACTGGGAGGAGTAGGGGGAGAAGTATCGGGGGAACGTCTTCTCCGTGTTGCCGGTGACGGGAGACTCGTCCCAGGTCCGCAGAGGGCGCTGGCTGAGGGGCGTGTCGGTGGAATCATGCTGGATCCCACCGGGCATTGATGGCCAGCCACCTGGATTCGATTTCATCTGCGGCATGTTGGTCTGCAGCTTCTTGAGGAACGCCTTTCTCCGTCTTCTGCCCCTGCAGACAACGGCCACACCCGCGAGGATGAGCAAGAGGATGAAACCGGCTACGGCAATGCCGACTTTTCCGCCGAGGCCTAGCGGGCCATGATCGAACCAGGCGGGATCTACTTTGGCTGTTGGTGAAGGGGCGGTGATGTTGACAATGTCGCTTGAGAAGATGTTACCCTCGAGGCCGAGGGTCACGCCGCTGATTGGCTTTTGTTCGCATCCAGCTTGAAGAACTGTGACGACTATGCACACAATGTTAGCAATGGCCAGGTTGCTTCTCTTGTATAGTGTCAGCGGTGAGTGGGCAGCATACAGTTTGCCAGGTAGTTGTTGGAGACCTGGAGACATTCAATACACCCATGAAAGTCCAAGGTGTCGCTCGTGGGCCATAGATCGCAGTACCCATAGTCGTCATACTTGACAGACAGGTTCTGGTACGCAATAGCGTTGGTGAAGGCACCGCAAGCTTTGCTAAAGGGAACATTGTCAGCCATGACACACGGCACCACAAAGGGTCCTTCATCTCACCTCGTCACACATGGATTGTTGACAAAGTCGTAATGCTGCGGCTCGTTGAAGACGCAGTACGATACGGCATACCGAAGGTTATCTGGAGGTCGATCATCAGCAAGTGAAGTGTGCGACAGCACCGAGAGACCAAGAAGAAGGAAGATCGCATACACAAGGCTGCCATGTTGTCCGAGTAGTTGCCCTTGGTCGCATAGCCGCTGTTGAGCTCACACTGCACGCAGCCTTGAAACACGGTCCCAGCTCCGTTCGCATAGCCGCCCGTGTACTGGCCCGGCGTGCACACCAGGTCGCCGGCAGACGTCGAGTCCAGGACGTTGCCGCAGTTGGTCGAGCACGGCGAATCGGGCGCGACGAGGATGGCCTCTGCGGCGGGCAGGATTGCGCCGGCGGCTGCGAAGCTCGTCAGGAGGCGCAACATGGCTTTTTTTTTTTTTCTTCCGGAGTGTGGTGGACTGTAAAAGACTGGAGGTTTCTGCTGTGTCGCTGGGCGGGTTCGAATGTGAAAAGGTAGCGAGCGTGTGGAGGTGAGGGAGCTTCGACGACACAGTTCCAGCCTGTGTACTATTATTACGTGCCACCCTTGATGTTGATGATGATGATGTTGATGATGATGATGGCAGTCGAAGCTGTTCACGATGACAAACGAGGGACGAGCTGCATGTCCTGCTTGGTCGTTGCAGAGGGCCAGCCGAGGATGTTATAATGGGATCGGGAAGCTGTGGTTGTATAATAACATGCAGCGTCGCAAACGCGGTGATGCCAGAGAAGAAGGGGGTGGAGGAACAGAACAGGGCCAAGACCAGGACCAAGACGGTGGCTGTTGGTCGGCAGATGTGATGAAGACGCAGACTCGCATCCCAGGCGTTCGTCTGCGCATGTCAAAGCGAGAGAGAGAGAGCACGGATATGCAGGCAAGCATCCAATACCGTAACATCCATCTCTCTGGGCCAACCCTCACTCAACGCATCACCTCAACTCTTTCTTCTCCACCCCCCAGCCCAGCTCCAAAGAAACAAGGCCAACCAGAACCAGAACCCCCCCCCTCTCGTCCATTTCCCTCTTCGGGTCTCTCACCATCCGGAACCCCATCATCAAGGTCGTCAATCCCTTCAACCTCCGCTCCAATCTCACCAGCCCTTGGATTTTCCCACGGCACGGCACATCATGAACCTTGGCTTTGGCCACTAAAAGACGGGAGACGACCCGCGATGCCAGTCTCCTCACGTCCCCCCCCTTGTCGTGGCGTCAAGCCCTCTGCAGGGAATCCCTGTCCGCCCATTTCACACTGCCATCACCGACCGCTGCCTGTCGACGGGCTCCGATTGGACGGGCGGTGCTGCGACCTGGGCGCTTAATTCGACGCTGTGGATGGATAGACGGGCTGACGGTTCAAAGCCTTGATGAACCAGAGACAGGAAGAGAAAAAGCCGAGATCTGGGCTGGAAATTGCTTTGGGTCATGTAATCCAATCCCATCCGTTTTGCTCCTCTGTCGTCCGTTTCCTGACCATTCCCAACATGACTGACAATACGGATAGTGAGTCGATAGCGCAGTGAGGCAATCGGTGCTATCGTGTGATTTCCAAGCTTCTCTTCCCGGCCGCTCATCACGCACGGCAAAAAGTCCTGCACCTCCCAGGAAGCCTCACTGCGACCCTCTTCGTCCACAAATCTCCATCGTCTTTCCTGCGGGGGTGGCCAAGAGATTCTCCGCCTTTGTGCATCATCAGCCTTTGGACCAACATGCATCTACCCTCACTGGAATGCTTTCGTATTGATACAGTATCTCGTCGTCTTCAACAGCAAATGATACCTCGTGTTATACCAGAGAGGTAGGTATGTAATCGTGTACTCTCTCATAAACGCCGGCTCCCGTTGAATATCTCGCCACAACATAACGTAGCCATCCATACGAGCATTATAACAGAGTTACACCAAAGGACTCAAATACATCATCACCAACGCTCGGCAACATGCATCGACTCTATCGCTTGTGCGCCCGTGACACGCCCCCCCATCTTACCACGCTTCACGAGCTCTTTTACCGCCCCCAAGCGCCGTGCACGCCATCACACTCATCCACCCTTTTCAGTCAATGTTAGCTGAAGGAACAGGCTTCCATCTCCAAAAGACGGCGAGAAAGATGTCGGAAATGCATGCTTTCTTTGAGTAGCCGCGCCGAGAAGCGCCAAACTGTGTGAATGATTCTGCATCTGGTGATGTAAAGCATACAACTACACTCTTGAACCAACATCACCTTACGAGTACTTACATGTAGGCACTCCGTAAAGGTGCTAGAGCTGCATGCCAGCAGCGTGCAGACGGATGAGGATTTTCCCCTTTCGCTTATGCACGATTAGCCTGCAAGGGACGGCATCCGTGCCGTGCTTCTATGGGGATGCTGAGCACACGGACGGTAGGGCGAAGCGATGGCCTCCGAATTGCTTCCATCGTATGTCGTTAAGAATCACTATGCAGACGAAGGTGGGTTCCAGCTCTGTGCTTGCGATATGTCCAAACGTTTCAACTTTTTTTCTTTTGTGCTTCGTAAACCATATAGCAATACATCAAACTCCGTCTATGTGCAGATAGCCTCGCTAAACCAATCGAAAAGAGAAGGAAAGAAAATGATGCCAAATCCCACGCAAGCTGGCATCTATATCTCCTACCAAATCGAGCTCACACGCCGCCTCACAATATGTTCCGGGGCCTTTTCCACGCACTTGAGCAAGGAAAAAGTCTTCTCCAGACCATCGGGCAGCTCCAAATCCGGAACCAGTAGCATAGCCGTTGGAGTCCTTGGGCCCGAATTAGTAGTTGTCGTAGCCTCGTCTTCCCTCTTCTTCTCATCGCTAGGGCGAGTCTGTTCGGGCTTTGATGAGTGTGTGCGGCCGGATGGTCGACGATGATTGTCCCTCGGGCGTTCATTCTGCGACGCATCGCGCCTGGTGGATGCCCTCCTTGTTGTGCCTCCCTCCTTCACATGCTGCGAATGACTCCCCGACCGGCCTCTGGCCCTAGAATGGTTTTGCTGTCGAGTCCCGGACGGAGGGCGGCTGCCATGCACGGGACAGCTGGCAGAAGGATACTCTTCGATGAGAGTAAACTGTGACAGATCGACTACTTCTCGTTGGGAAATTTGCGTCCCCCGAGAGCCGCGCCGCGCATCTCTCAGATGTTTGTGCGAGGAGCGCCGTCTGCCTCTCCCAGTTTCCTCTGGAGCTACTTGTGATGCTGAGTGGGATTGCATGAGGTAGGCCGGTAAGACGGCACTGCTGGAATAGCTCCTAGCCACGTCATCGATCTGGTTCTGGCTATACTTCCGTCGAAGTTGATTCTGAGACGACTGCCGTGATAGTGGTCCGTCGTAGTCGCTTCCACGCCGGCTATTCCAGTCGGAAGATTGCCGCTGGCTGTGAGCCCTGTACTTGTTCCTATAACTCTCCTCCGGCCTGGTACCACCTCCGGCTTCCGCGGTCCTAGATCGCTCTTGCGCTGTAATGTGCGGCAGGTCAGGGGCATCTATCATTGAGACGGAAAGCTGACGGACTCGGCCCGGCTGGTTGTTCCACACAGATACATCGGATCGAAGGCTAAATCGCTTGTCGTTTTCCGCCATATCAGGATAAAAGGGTACAAATTCATCTGTGCCTTTCTGCAAGCCTCGGAGCTCTTCTAGAGGCGCTGTCGTGGACTGGTTCGAAAATGTAGACATTTCCCTATGAGATACGGGAGATTCTGCTTCGAGGTACCGCCGGAGCATATATTGATCAGGCGGTATGTCAAGTTGCAAGGATTTGATGTCTAACCTGGGCTTCGATTCTCTCGCTGCATGGGAAACCTTGGGCTCAGGAGCCCCGTTATCGAGTGGTTTCCCGAAATATTTAGGAGACTCGTGGTAATCCTGCCCACCAAGATTAGGTGTGGACTCTACGTGCCACGTTTGTTCGTCGCCTCGGGTGTTTTCACGAGAGTAGTCTGAGGATTGCTTGTAATGATCGTCAGGGCTATCCAAGACCTGATCTCGGTTTTTCTGCTCCGGATATGGGTCGTTGTTCGAACTTGCTTCAGATTCGGGCGGGACATCATTTCCGGATTGGACCTTTGGCTGAAGCGGCGAATATGCCAGTTTGGCATACGGCTCGGAGTCAGTGTCGACCACCAAGAGACCCGTCTCGCCACGACCCATGATGCCGTACACCCAGATCTCGCCAGACTGTATGCCAACCACGGTGCTCGTGCCGGCATATGTTGCGTCACCCTCGATGCCACAGCGATTCGCAAAGACGACGATGACTTCTTGATTTGAGTCTGCCCGGATCAGCGGCTCGAGGCGCGAGACCCAGTACAACAGAGTCATGCTGTCCGGTTCCAGAGGGGTGCTGGTAAACTCTTGCGGATTCTCATTCGTAAGCCAGGCCATAGATACGATGACAAGACGAGCACCGCTGTCCAGGACATGTTGTCCGAATTCGAACTTGTTCCATGGAGCCTCAAACTTGTAAGGGCTTCATCAACAAATCGCCAGGTCAGCTTCGACAATAATAATAATAACAACAATAACGTGAAACAAGAAGAATCACCACCTTTGCGTGCACACTTACTTCAGATCCATGCAAATCCCCATGGCCGTCTGGCCCAAGCCAGGAAGTCGACCTGCAAAGAAGCCATGAGAGCCCTCGAGCGCCCAAGTCTCGTCGGTGTAGTACAGATGCGTCTTGCGGTAGTTGGCCACCGTCTCGCCGTCGCCGTTGACGGCAATAGCCGAGTTGTAGTACTCGGGGTCGGTGGGCCAGTTCAGCGTCGGATCTACCTTTTCGGGGTATCCAACGACGACAGTGCAGTCGTGTTTGAGAGCAGTGTTTCGAGCCCAGAGCGAGCTGATGCCTGTGCTGGATTCCTCGAGGTAAGGGGAGATGTGACCTAGAGACTTGAAGTTGTAGCCTTGACGGTAGATGGCGGGTTAGAAGACGAAAGTCACGAAGCAACTCCGCGAGGACGAGGAGAATGTGCAAGCCTCACCGGTAAAGGCCAGCTCTGGAAGCACCAAGAGGTCGAGGTCGAGGTCGTCGGAATCCGCCTCGCTGAGAATCGCGTCCGCCTTGGTGAGGTTGTTTTCCACATCGGCAACCTGCGGCGCAAACTGAAGGCACGCGATCCGCATCTTCCAGCACGTTTCTTTTTTTTTTTTTTCGCCTTGCTTTTGTGTTTTCTTTGCCTCTCCCAAGCTTCGAGCGTCGACCCAGAGACTCTGCGACTTTTGCTCGCGGGCAGTCCAGAGTCCAGCGGCCACGGGCAGAGCCCGGCTTTGAGCACCGCTTCTCGTTCTGTGCAAAGCCTCGGACGCGCAACAGTAAAGGGTCAGGCGATGTCACAGCCAACGCTCAAGAGATGCTGGACCCAACAGCAAAAGCTGACTGTTTTGGGCGTAGGACAGAGGAGTTACTCCGAAGCATCTGGAAATGGAGCCCGAGGGTTTGGATGAAGCGATTACACCGGTCGAGTTGAGGGGGGGAGGGTGGGGTAAGCCGGTACTTGGACATGAAACCGTCTGGGACTTCAGGGGAGCTACTAAATTCTCCATGAATAGGTAAGGCATCATCAGATGAGATTTAGCACAGTACGGACGTGTACTTGTGTGTTACTAGGTATGCTTGTTGCTGGAGAGAGGAGAGATATATGCCAAACCAATGACAGTCGGGACAAGCAAAGTACAGGGGCTCAACTCGGCTGACTGCCTGCTCACAAGCTGCATGACGCTGCCAAGTCAGAACTCAACAAACCTCCCGGGCTAATTGTTTAATTTTTATTTATTTTAACCACGAGGGCTCTTGGTATACTCAAGTGTTGGATGACTGATTACATTCATACTCTTTGTGCCTCCAGAATGCATGCCAACTTCCCTATGCCGAGTAACTCACAATATCCTAAAGCTCTACGATATCAATGGAAAACTCGTCCGTTGATTCCGTCCCAAGTCCTGCAAGGGGTGAGACCTCCTGCAGCTGCAGAGCTGATCTGATTGGACGTTGAGACATTCCCACAACACAGGCCACCAACGGCGTCTCTCGGTTTGCCGCCCTCTGTTGGATGGAGCAGGGGATGCTTTTGCTCGTTTTCTTGTCCAAGGGCCTTTCACGAAGGGAGCACGGAAGCAACAAGAGGGTCGAGCCTGTGAGCTTGGAACATTGCGCGTGCTGAATGAGCGTTGTCTAGGATTCGGGGGTATATTGATAGGTAGGTAGGTAGGTGATGCAGCACAGTAAGAATCCCATAGGCCGTTGAGCTCGGCGAAGCCTGGCTTATAGACACAGTACAGTAAGAGAAAGCAGAATACATGTACTACATTTATCGCAAGCTATCCACCAACTTCGCCACTATGATTCATCAAATCCAGACACTCGGGGCCCAAGTTCTCCATTTCTGCGATATGTAAATCCCCCGCGGGGAAAAGTGGTCGTCTTTGTACAGTCAAGGTACTTTACCGACATCAGGCCATGGAAGCCACATACTAGGTAGGTATCTCAGAGGAAATCTCAAGTTGATGAGAGCGAATCTGGACTTGCACAAGAACGTCACTGGTAGAAGCATTACGGACGCACCTCTTACCAGAGATCTTGATGATACTCACATGTGCTGTGATGTCACCCTTGTTACACTGAACTTCAGCTGCATTGACAAGAAGTCGCACAAGCAAGATTGTCAAAGAAGCATGTGAGATGCGGGATGCAGATTTGACGTCACTCTAGGCAGTGCATCTACAGCTTCTTGCTCGAAGGATTCTGTTGAGATAATCACCGAGTACGCTACGTCCCTCTCAGACTACATATCTTACGAAGCATCGAACCTCAATCCTAATGTCCAGAAAGGGCATCCGTGCGAGTGTTCTGAGGAAGCACGCAATCAAATCGTGGACGGCATGAGAGATGCCAGAGGGCGAGAGAAGTGAAAGCGCGGGTCCTGTCAAGCAAAGCCTCAATTGTACAAGAGGATGGAATCCATGAAAGGTAGATGAGCAGCGCCATACCTTACCCAGTACTACCTCGATACTAGCGAACAATTACAGGCACTGACAGAGCGCTACAACTGGGCGCTACAGCCTCCGGGTTGGCGCCCTCATAGCCTGGAGGCTGTTTCTCAGCCACTGATCGTTAGCGAGCACCAGGCACCGTAAAAGAGCCCTGAACCTTGGAACCTTCCATCCTTTGAGATCCCCCACCCAGACAATCCTCTATCGACATCCCACCTTCGTTATCGTCGCAACCTCTTACACCACTATTATCGCCGCTTTTTTTTTCTTCTCTCCTCCACCATCCATTTGTCATTGACGCCCGCCGACACCGACATCGCGACTCTCCGAATCCCGATCCGGGCTTCTTCTCCCATTCTCCCTTTCCTTTCCCTTCTGCGACCTCATCCGCCCTCTGTAACGGGCCTCTCTTCCGCATCGCACACGCGAGCATCGTCTGCCGCGCATCGCATCGGATCGGCGATATCGCATCGCATCGCATCGCAGCGCATCGCAGAATCATGGTCGCCTCGGCGTCAGGCTTCGGGGCTCATCACCCGCGGCCAAACGGCACGCCGCCGCTCCCCGAGCCCATCCTGTCGCCGCCCGGATACACATTCCCGCGCCAGAACCTGAAGCGCCGCTTGACGCAGCCCGGCAAGGTCCCTCTGGTCCTTGTCGCCTGCGGCAGTTTCTCGCCCGTGACGACGCTACGTAAGTGGGAGAGGCACGTGTACCCATCGTAGAGGCTCTCTCTCTCTGACGAGGCTGTAGACTTGCAAATGTTTGAATTGGCAGAAAAGTACGTAAAGCAGCGCGATCCCGGCTTCGAAATCGTCGGCAACTACATGTCGCCCTGCTCCGATGCGTATCAGAAGGCATCATTAGCGCCGGCCCATCACCGGATTCAGAGTACGTTGTTCATGCTAGGATCACAAAAGAGAGGCGAGAGAGAGGTCCCTGCTCACAATCTGGCAACAGTGTGTAGCCTGGCTGTCGATACAGACTCCAAGGCCACCATCACAATCGACCCGTGGGAGACGGTGCGCACTGATGACTCAGGCAAGCCTCTCTACAGCCCGACGGTCGACGTCCTCCGTCACTTCGATCACGAGATAAACAATGTGCTGGGAGGCATTGAGACAGTGGACGGCAGGTTCACGTCGGCACGGATCATGCTGTTGATCGGCGCCGACCTCGCCGCCACAATGTCAGACCCCAAGATCTGGGATCCCGCTGACATTGATGTATTACTGGGTCATTACGGAGCTTTTGTTGTTGAGAGGTAATAACGTTCGACGAGTCCGCAGCGGCAGTTGGGGGTTTGACAATGCTAATGCATCGATTCAGGCCCGCTCAGTGCAACATTGAGGATGCGATAAGGCCCCTCGAGAAATACAAGCACAACATATGGGTGGTTCCGACGATTCTCAACGAAGTATCGGTAAGAGATTCCATCGCCCGTTCCAAGTCATTCTCGTTTCTAACCTTGATGGACCAGTCAACACGTGTCCGTGCTCAGATACAAAACGGAGAAAGAGTCGAAGACATCCCCGACTCAGTCTACAAATACATCAGACTGCATCGCTTATACCAGAAAGAGCCCACGACTAATGGCCGACCCGCCGAGCTTACAAACGGGAACTGAGCAGCAGAACCACGACATAGACTGCATGATGTTTACAGCGTTGCATTCCGATTCCATTGCCATCACATGTCAAGGTCGTATACAAGGAGCTCAGCTCCCCCAGGGCCTCGGGGCTCGCCACGGCTGTATAGAGTATGTCTGTCCCTTTTTCGAATCCATCTGCCAACCGCTGACACGCAATAGGTAGAAAGGGGCATAACCTATAGAAGCTTGGATCACGTCTTGTGTTGGGCTTGGGCACCCCCATTGGATTACGAAGGAGTTCGCCGATATACACTACAAGCGGAGAGTTTTTTTTGGATAATAGAGGATATGATACCCGGGTCACAGGCTATGTGCCTGCATGGGTTTTAGCGAGTGTTATTGATCGTTAGGAAGACAAAGAGAGCCGTGGGTTTCAGGCTCGACATGAGTTTATTACAAGCACAGCTACGCATCGCATGCTCTTGAATGAAAGCCTTGACAACTAGCCTTTTGGTCGAGCCTCAGTATCCTCTGACACGGGATATACTGATCTACGAGAAGACGGCTCCTGTCTGCTAGAGTGGTCGAAAGCGAGGACTCGGAGAGATCCGAGTTGAAGTGTGTGCTGTTTCACCACGGCATGCTCCCTCATGCGAGATAGCCGCCGCCTTTGACGTGGTATTACCTCGGCATCTCGTGGTGCTCAACCCGATCTGACTGCTACCCTAGCGCAGCGGACCAAAGATCCGGCCGCAAACACGTTCATGCAGAAGAGTTCCTCGGCCACGGCAATAGCGCCGTCGCGGCTATCGGAATGCCTCCAAGCGCGAAAAGAAAGAGAAATGACAAGACGAACGCATAGATGATCCTCCGACCGAGAAGGGCCCCCAGCGTCGGCAAACCGTGGCCCATATGATAAAAACGAGGTACTAATACGACGTGCAGTAGCACATCACGAAGACAAGGTGATGAGTGGAAATGATACAAACTTTGACGGACGGGAAGAGGCAGGGATTCTCGACAAAACAACTTCGGTTATTATTGATACCATCCCCTCTTCCCGCGATGATTCATTCTGCCTAGGTACACACACAGAAGGGGGACAAGGTTTCACACGCATACTATCATCTCCATGGGTTGTTTTCCCGCGAGTGGATGCCATTCATGGAGTGCGCGGAATCAAAGCATGGCTTGAGCCAATCATGACAAGTTGCGCGTCTGTCAGTCTGGCAGGGGGTGGTGGTACAAGAGAGAGGGAGAGAGAAGACGGAAGGTTGCAATCGAGAGAAATGAATCAAACACTGTTGAGAGTGAGTGAGTGAGTGCGCTCTTCTCTGCCTGGAGCAATGGGCATGGATCGATCTCGGTTCAGATGCTGTATGTACGACTGCGGTCGACTGCTGTAACACACACTCACGATATCAACTGCTCATGACGACCTCATTCTACGACAGCATTCTATCCTATGGCAAAATAAAGATTCCCGTCCCTTCCTCAGGATAACTCCAGTGCGTCTGCTTTCTCTCATTCTCTGCAAGATGCCCTTGTCAAGCCTCTACATACTTTGTACGTACGAAGACACAATCGCACTTCTCTCCCCATCCACAGACCATAGGGTTGCATTCTCGCGGATCCCCAACAAGGGGGGCCTCCAAAGAAGCCTCGTCATCCGCCAATCCCCGTCCTTCCGTCCTTTGCCAATCCAGTCTGCGTATCCATCTCCCCCATCTCCGCGGCGCCTTTTGCGCTTCCTGTCCCGCGCTTCTATCACGCCGCTGATTGGACCACCTGTCTTGTGGCGTCTAATATACATACACGAACCCTCGCTCTAATACTACTTACTACTCGTACGTACATCAACGAGTTCCCCCATCTGACTCTGCCCTTCTCTGCGACTTTGCGTTGGTCGCCGAGTTGCATTTTTCATCAATCCATTGCACGAGGTCGGCTTAGTGCTTCCTCTCGTGCCGTCTTGTGCCCACTCGCACCAAACAACAAGAAGAGAAAAAGACACGAGAGACAAAGACACGACACGATCCTGCCTAAAGCCGTCGATTCCTTCCTGTCAGGCTGCATCATCGTCCTTCTCTCGTCTGACAGCTGGCGAGGGATCAAAGAGCTTGGATATACTAGGCTAAAGCGAAGAAGGATTCAATCCTCCTCAGGTCGGCTCGTTGACGAATCGCATCGCCAGACCACCACCACCACCAGTAGCATTACGTGCATATAGAGAGAGGACTTTCGTACATCCCTGCCCCTGGCTCCCCTCCCATCTCAGCCCGGAATCTTCACTGCTCCCACGCTTGACAGGGTACTACTGTGTATGTACGTATGTATGTAGATTTTTGCCTTAAACACGACAGTACCTACACACCATCCAGTATCGAGAGAGACTTTTGATCAGATGCATGCGTCTGTCACCACCATGAGGGTAGCATCCACTCAGCCCAACTTCGCCACCTTTTTGTTCCCTTTCGTGCCGTTCCAAAGTCCTACTACGGCCCTTGCCCGGAGGGATCCATCCGATACCTATGCACCACTCCTCTGTATGTACAGATACACGTACACGTACGAAAGTATGCTGCTGCTGCTGCTCGAACCAACATGCCGTCGTCGTGAAGTCCTAATGAGGACTACCGTGTCCATGTAGTAATATAACGTCCCATGGAGATTCAGTTTCTCTCGCCAGTGGCGTTTGCCGTGATTCCCATCCGTCTTATAACCATCGCCCCCAGCCGTCCTCCGTTCAACATGACTCCCCCTCGCACAGCTTCCCTCGGTCTGTCTTGTGCGAGAGAGGGCTGATCAGCTCAACCACATCGAATACCGTCTGTCTGTAATTCATCATCACGACAGTGGGATGATTCTGATGCTCGCAGCGGATTCGATATTCAGCCCTGCAGCGAGCAGGCGATCTCGGCAATCGACTCCTTCAGAACATTGAAGTCCATACACTCCTCCATCTGTCTCCATATCTCTCCTTCAGGATCATATGAAACACACGTCAAAGATGATCTCCTCAATACACCTCTCCCCCCCCCTCCTCCTCCTCCTCCTCCTCGCCGCCACAAAACCCACCCACGCCCTCACAATCAACCCCCGAGACACCTCCCAAACCCTCCCCCTATCCGTCATCATCGGCGTCAGCATCGCCGTCATCTCCATCTTCGCCCTCGCAACAACCCTCTTCGTCATCTACTTCGCCCGTCAAGCGCCCTCTCCATTCCTCCACCAGCGCCGCTACTACAGGCAGGAGTTCGTCGTCTCCCCCAAGGACCTCGTCGAGCCATGGAGCTACGTCGTCAACGCCAACCACCACCGCTCTCCCCACGACGCTGAAAACAGCATTGGTGATGATGGCAAGGCCGAGACAAATGGCCAGTTTTACAACCGCATGGCGAAACCACCCGCCCGCTTCAGCATCATCCAACTCACCCACGATCCACGGTCCGCCATCCACGGCCCCGACAACGCCATGCCCGCTCACCACGCCTACGACCCCAACACCGTCTCCAAGCCCCTGAACCACCACCACCACCTCCTCCTCCAAGACAGCGGCTCATCAGGCCCTCTATCGCCACCACAGCCAGCACACAGACTCAGGCCAAACACCCCCGACTCATTCATCATCCAATCCTACAAATCCGTCGTCGAAGACGCCGCCCGCCAGTCCTCCTCCAACCACCAGTCTCTCCCTTCACCTGCACTGCCATCTCCTTCTTCAGAGGCCTTCTCGTCTTCGCCGACCCGGACGAGAGCCTCCTCTCTCTGGAGCTCCAGGCTCTCCTCTCTGCCTCTCCCCAAGATCCAAATCGCAAAGAGGAACAAGCCCCCTCGGCTGAACCTCGCATTGCAGCCTCTGGCCATGGCAAAGAAAAGTCCCAACGGCGAGATGCACATCACCCCTCCGCTCCTCAACGACCCTAGGTTCATCGACAGGCCGCTTGGCGCTGGGGTCGTCGTCATTGAGCGGAATCGTCCGCCTTCTCCCGACGATGGCGAAAAGTACGCTGCTTACACGGAAGTTCCCCTGGCCAGCGGGAAGAGCGTCCTGTACGGGATGTAATAGGGGGAGAAAGAAATATGCATGACTTCTCCCTTTCCCCTCTTCTTCAAACTTCTTTCCCATGTAGACACACAACGCTCGCTTTATTTTATCTTTCCTTTGTCCGTCTGATAAGAATTTCATATGGGTGGCTAAGCGATGTAACATTCTTGGATACCGACTTGTTCGAGTAAGTGGTGCGGTGGCTTTTTGTCTTGTTTAGGGCGTTGGATTCACGCAAGGTTATTCAGCCATGGGATATGGCCGTCACTCCTTATACCCAGAGACTACAAGGCGTTGTTAGTCGGAGTCGAATACAGTTCCTTTTGACATCTTTTTTGATAGATCTGCAGAAGTCTAAGCGGATTACAAAACGTTCCTACAGCCCTGATGATAATCGTACAAGTCTCTCGTCACTCCTTCACCACATGGTTGATGGCAAGTCTCCCATTGACGAAAAGGCAGCGATTCCGCATGTCTTATATTATTACTACGCAGACTAGCCCAGACGGTGGCCAGGCCCTCTAGTCCGCCACGAGTCCGGTAAGGGTCCGCGAGAAGCACCGCTGCTTTGACCAAAGGCTGTACCAGGCGCTCTCGCTCCAACGGCTGGTCGTGGCGGCGCTGGGGTGACCCCGTTCACAAGCGTCGTGATGAACGCGGGCGTCTCGAGCCAGTTCCTGCCGCCACCAATCTCAGGCCAGATCTTGGTCAAGAACAGATACAGGTGCGCCGCAACCAGCCCGTGAAGCTGCAGCAACACCATACCGATACCTCCGGGAAAGAACAGGTTGATAGCCATCATGGCAAACGGCACAAGCTGAGACGGGATGTTGATGAACATGTAGTTCGTCGTCTGTCCTCGCTGCTCCTGGGTTACGGTGTATGCCATGGCGAGGATGAGTGCCTGCGTCAGCAGTCCAAAATCGAAGCCGGACAGGTGATTGAGTATCTGAAGCCAGAGTCAGCCTCAAATCACGAGCGACGGTGATGCAGCACAGAAGAGAGAGGGAACATGCACAAGATAGGTAGGGAGAGAAATGTAGGGAGCATATAAAAACCACTCGTGTGAATAGAGCAGACCACACGAGCCATCCATTACGACATCCCACCATGCCTACACCGCAAGCCGATCCTTTTTGCGAATGAGTGGACCGACTCGAAGTGCAGGGGTAATCTCCCTCAATTCCAGGAACCGTGATAGCAGTAGAGGCATCGCACTATCCGGGCAGATATTTTGAGGGGTTCTCATTGTGGTACACAGGAGAGGAGAGCACGTGGAAGAATGAGCCAGGAGACCTACCAGAATGGTTCCGCATATGAAGATCAAGTACCAGACAAAATCTTCTCGTCTAGACAGCCGCGGATGACCTCTTTCCAGCCGACTCATGTAGATGTACATGTGGAAAGTGTCGAACAAGATACCCAGGTTTGGCAAGGTGATCAGGAAGCATGTTACGAGGCGCCATAGCTGCGGAGGAATCCACAAGACGAGGCGATGGTCATACATGAAGAGGCCCCCGTCAAGGAGTCCCGTATACACAGCGACAGACAGGCCAAACGTAGCAGTCGCGACAGTTCTGTGGGAGGAAGAGTCAGCTCAATGTTCCCTGTGGACTCACGTCCAGTTAGAGGTTGGCAAGGGAAGAGTCAATCTTACCTAGCAATTGGAGGCGCTCGCCAGTACGCATCCGTGGAAAGCTCTGCCATCGTGGACAACTTTGCTCGAACCGAGGCGGAAATCCTCAGGCTTGCGGACGTGGGAGAGAGAGAAGATGCAGAAACACTCCCGGAGCGCCAGAAATGTTCATGAACAGCAAAGCACAGACGCGGCAGCACCAGGCAACAACGGGGGCCTAATCATTGCTGGGTTTGCCCAAGTCAAGCTTTTTTTTTTCTCTTCTTGTTTGTTGCTGCTGTGGAACAGAAAAGAACATTGTGTCCAAAAGTTTCTGCGCCGGCTTTTGTCATCCGAGCTTTGGTCTGTACCGTTTAGATGCATATGTCGCTTAATAGGGTGCGTACCTGCAGCTTGTATCCACAACCAGCCCAGAAATCGTAGGGCGGTTTGTGCTGCAAAATTCAATTGGTCCTAGTCTCACGTGAGGAGCTATCTATGATGAAGCTGTTCAGGTTCAATGTCTGCTGTAGAATGTCGTAGCGAGCATATTGAGCAGAGAGTATCTTGAAGGCACTGAGAAACTTCAATGGCTGATGTTTGAGTACCTACGTGTACCTCGAGAGCATCTTCTTGTTCTGGTATCAGCCAGAGCAATTGCACGCCTTGACCTAAGGTACTCAGTTCTACAATCATGAAGTGTACTGCGAATTACCTACCAAAGGTATATAGCTCCTCACTGCACACCTCCCGAAAGCCCAAGGTATGTCAATACGAATTAGAAGACCTCGCAGTAGCTGTAAGAGGGCCAAGAAAATTTGCTCGTCATTTGTCATGTCCACGGATGATGAGAACCCGGACTGCGAACCTCGTACGAGGGGCAGTTATGGCCCTTGTGGAGAAAACAACTACCCTGAAGCTCTCTGGTTTTTTCCCCTACGGTATGACGTACAATATGCCTCGGAGCGTCGGCATTCTTAGATCTCACCCTCTTGGTTTCGATGCGAACTTGACATTATCTGGAAGTATATCTGCACTTCTTTAACCTCTATCGATATTAAAGATTGCGCTTCCTCAGCTCCCACCGCAACCCACCTCCTACCTAGGGTAGCTTGAGCTCTGACTCCCTCGAAACACCATCCGAGTGTCTGCCTCCCCTTCAGCCCAGATATGGCCACCCCAATTCCCGCCCACGATCCTCTGAAGAGTGACGAGGCCAACGATGCCGGATGGGAAGCCGGCAAAGGAGGCCTCGTCGGTGCTGCCAAATGGGGCGTTGGAGCGGCAATCCTGGGTGGCGCGGCGTATTTCTGGTCGCCAGTCTACCGCAAGACGACCGTCCAGTTCAAAGTGTAGGGACGCCAGACCGACAGACGGTGAACGCATGGGCTCACATGATCAACAGTTATGTCCAAATGTCAGCAATGGTTCTTGGAGGCATGATCGCAGCAGATCAGCGCCTGAGGCAATATGAAGCTCAGGTAAGAGCTCAACGAAGGTGGCTGAGGGAGAAGGCAAAGTGGGATAGGTACGAGCAGGAGGTTGCACAGAACAACAATAAATGAATCAAGAATGACCCCAATTAAGATTATAAGCTTGATCATGTACATAGCATCATCCGATGATACCCAAACACATCACGCTGTATATCACCTCTCCCTTCCAACGCCTAAGAAGCCGAAATATCCCCATGAGAAAAAGACAAATTCGCTACCTGTAATCCTTTGACCATGGCATCACCTTCTATCCTATTTTGACTGCGGCTTGAATCTCTTCGGGTCCATGTTGAGTTTACATAGACGGGCCACACATCCAGACAACTGAAGTAATGTTTGGACGCCCTCCAAAATCTTCATATGCGTGAAGCCAATCTCCTTGATGAACTCCAGCTTCGAGTGCTCGCTGAGCGTCGGCATCGTCTTGGTGACCTTGAACATCGTACTGATGATATCGTGGCTCGAGTATCCCAGATCCCACAACTCCCGGAGCGTGTCCAAAGCCGAGTCGACGTTACCCTCGTAGCAGGCCTTCAGCATGGCCTGCACTTTGATCGGGTGCGGTGAGTCGACGACCTTGAAAACGTTGTCGCCCGAGACGAAGCCAAAACCGGCCCATGTTGACTGCAAGTTGTTGATGGCCTGTCGCATATCCCCCTCTGCACTGAACACCAAGGCGGCCAAGCCATCGTCGCTGTATTCCACCTTTTCCGCCTCGATAATCTGCAGCAGCCGCTTCACGACTTGTTCGTCCGTCAACTTGGCGTATCGAAGGATTGCGCATCGTGACTGCAGCGGCTCGATGATCTTGTTGGACTGGTTGCAAGCGAATGCGAATCGAGTGGTATTGGAGTAAATCTCCATCGTTCTCCGCAGAGCCTGCTGGGCACCAGAGGTCATACTGTCGGCTTCGTCAAGGATGACGAGCTTGTGCCTACCGGGAGGCAAGGTAACCTTCTTCTGCGCAAAGCCCTTGATGCGGTTACGAACGACATCAATGCCTAGATGGCAAGGTCAGCGGCGGCCAACAGCCAACTGTGCATCGAAATGACGGAAAACCGAGGCCGACGTACCGCGTTCATCACTGGCATTCAGCTCCAGGACGGCCTCCTTGTATGATTCCCCAAGCAACTGGCGGGCAAGACAGAGGACACTGGTTGTCTTTCCTATGCCCGGCATGCCTGATATAATGACATGAGGCATATTGCCCTCCTTGGCTATAATCTTTAACCGCTCAATCGTTTCTGTGTTGCCGACGACATCGTCCAGGAACACTGGCCGATACTTTTCGACCCTAGGTAGGAATATCGTTAATTTCAGGTTCGGTTTGAATGACACTCCCGCTTCGACATACCATGGTAGCTCGTAATTCGGTGAACCATTGGAAGACGCTGCAAGCGCTGCCTTTGAAGTGGCATTTGAGGACTCGCCTCTTTCTTCTGGCTTTGCGGCGGGCATTCTGCTGGATGAGCTGCAACGGGTGAGATATCGGAATCACTTTACGCGATCCGGAAGACGCGTCGAGACAGTTTAGCAGCTCTGCACTGAATTTCAGTGGAGTCTGGAACCGGAGCTGTCCTTGCAGCGGTACGAAGGTACGTACTTCCACCGGGCAAGCAAGATTGGAAGTGAAGTGGCCCGTGCGCGACCGCCGCCATCCGTAAGTTCTTATCGATAGCCCGGCATTCCAGCTTTTTTTTTTTGGGCGCTGATTGCCATCGACTTCTAACGACTGCTCTTGCGGAGAACCAAACCATCCGCAACTGAATCCTCTTCTACTCAAATCTTCGACCCTATAATCGCCTCAGAGCTGAGGTTTGAGAGCTCTCAGAGCACCGCAAGTCGCAAACCAATTGTTGTCCATACACCAACCACTGCAAACAACGCCATCATGGGTGTCGCAAAGAAGACGAGAAAGTTTGGACAGGTGCGTCCTCTTACGCCAAGCAGCTCTATTCGAATTTCCTGCCCTGATACTGACTCCTTGAACTAGGTCAAACGAGTGATGGGACTGAAGGATACCCGACTCAAGGAGAACCGATTGAAGGAGGAGCTCAAGCAAAAGGAACAGGCCGCCAAGAGGACAGTAGGAGGCGAGGTCGTCAAAGAAGTTGCCCAGATGCCGAGCGGCATGTACTTTGCTCACAACACAAACATCAGCCCGCCATATAACGTTCTTGGTAAGTGTGCACATATCTGTGGTTGCTACTCCCGGCTTCTGATCTGATACTGACCGCGCGTGTGCTCTCGGTAGTCGACACAAACTTCCTCAGTCATACCGTCCAGCGGAAACTCTCCCTACTCGAGTCCATGATGGACTGCCTCTACGCGAAATGCAACCCCATCATCACCTCCTGCGTCATGGCCGAACTCGAGAAACTGGGAACGAAATACAGACTGGCGCTCAAGATTGCCCGCGACGAGAGGTGGCAGCGGATACAGTGCGACCACAAGGGCACATATGCAGACGACTGCATCGTGGACCGGGTCACCAAAGACAGGATATACATCGTGGGCACCAACGACAAGGCGCTGAAGCAGAGGCTACGCAAGATCCCCGGCGTTCCCATCATGAGCGTGGCGCGGGGCAAATATGTAATAGAGAGGCTGCCGGGACAGCTGCCTACATAACGGAGTTGGAGGGGTCGAAGCATTGGATTTCTGTTCATCTCTTTATCGTCGCTACTTCTCTTCAATCCTGTTGAATCTTTTCTCCGGCCTTACTGTTTGCGCAGGCTCGCGCTCTGGAGTTTAGCGCAAGTCCGAAAACCATATTGCTTAGGTAATACAGGCATGGCACATGCAGCCTTCGTCGTCACAAATCCGTAGTTGAGCTTCGAGACCCTGAATCAACTGCGATTGTTCTAATAAACTTGGCCGCTGTCAGCCGCTGTCTTCCCTGGCGTGCTGCTAAGTTGCGTTAAGCATAGATGTACAAGGCACCGGTGCGGCGCGTACTGTAAGATTCTCAAGACAAAGACGCGGCTCTTACAAATGCTGTTCAGCATCTCACGGCGACTAACATACGTCAACAGCTCATTGAACCACCGCCAACTGCGGACAACCAGAAAGTCACAGACAAGTGAGCTGAGAAGTATTCGAGCAATCTAAAAAAATGGACTTGGACTTGAACTCCCGAAATTCCGGATCCTTGACAAAGAAGCGCACTCGGATCCTCCTCTCCTGCGCGCCATGTCGCAACTCGAAGCTCAAGTGTGACCGTGAGCAGCCATGCGGGCAGTGCGCCAAAAAGGGTCGCCTGGACCTATGCGTCTATGCGCCAAAGCCGGAGAAGAAGAGGCCGGCGGCCAAGGGCATGGCGGCTCGGCTCAAGAGGCTTGAGGGAATGGTCCGAGGCATGATGGACGAAGAGGGCAACCTCAAGCGGCAGCCTCAGGCGGCGGGCGAGAGCACGGCGCCGCAGTTGAAGGGGCAGGTTGTCCACGGAGAGAATGCGACGACATATGTGGGGGCGACTCATTGTTTGGCGATGCTTGAGGATGTAAGTGAAAGACGTCGTCCAAATGGCATGGGAGAACGTGGTGAGAGTGGACCTAACGGATGTGTGCAGATCGAAGACATCAAGGCCTACTTTGATGATCCCGGAGACTCGGATGACGACGCCGTGCCGGGGGATGAGCTGGACGGGCCGGAAATGCTGCTCTACTCGAGAGGAGTTCCGAGAGATCGAGAAGAGCTTCTTGCCCAGCTCCCCGAAAGGAAGGTCGCGGACCGGCTCGTCACGCGGTACTTTTCGTCCAAGAGCCCATCTCAGCGTCAGTACAGCCGTTTCGACTCACATGGATTGTCGAACTCACTAAACCCATTATATGTTGTCGGAAACTGACTGAGGAATTGCAGACATCATCCATCGTCCGACATTTACGAAAGCAGTAAGTCAACATATAATCTTCAACCTGGAACCAAACCCCCTTCTTCTAACAGGATGCCTTAAAAGTACGTGCAATTCTGGCAAAGCCCAAACGAAGCTTCACTCCACTGGGTAGCCCTCCTCTTCATGGTCCTCTCCCTAGGCGTCTTCTTCAACAACTTCTCCGCCCCCGACGAAGTCGAGAGCGACTCCCCGATACCCGTCAAGGACAGAATCAGGCAGTACCGCTCATGCGCCGGCTGGGCCCTGATATGGGGCAAATACGCACAGCCAACCGCCATCACGATCCCCGCCTTCATCCTCTACGTCGAGGCCGACTTCATCCTCAACCGCGCGGCGCAGATGAACTGCTACATCCTGTCGGGCGTCTGCCTGCGGCTGATGCTCAAGATGGGGTTCCACCGGGATCCCTCTCACCTGGCAAACATCTCGCCGTTTGAAGGAGAGATGCGGCGGAGGCAGTGGAACATGGCTGCCCAGATCGACCTCCTCGTCTCCTTCCACATGGGGCTCCCGAGCATGCTCAGCGGCATCGAATCAGACACGGAACTGCCCCGGAACCTGGAGGACGACGACTTTGACGAAAACTGCAAGGAGCTCCCGCCGCCACGGCCCGACACGGTCTACACCTTCATGACCTACGCCATCCACAAGTCCAGGCTCCTCCGGGTGTTTAGACAAATCGCCCAGCAAGCACACTCCCTCACGCCACCAAGCTACAGCGAAGTCCTCAAGCTCGACAACCTCCTCACCGAAACCTGGAACAGCGTCCCCTCCTTCATGTACGTCAAGCCGCTCGAGGAGTGCGTCGGCGAGGAGCCCCATCAAATCCTCCAGCGCTACGGCCTCGCCTCCCTCTATCACAAGAGCCGCTGCGTCCTCCACCGCCGCTATCTAGCCGAGGCCGTGCCCAAGCCCGAGCATGACTACTCCCGGAACCAGTGCCTGGACGCCGCCATGGCGCTGCTCGACTTTCAGCACGCTTCGTGGGTTGGGTGCCAACCTGGCAACGTCCTCGGCCGCTCCGGCTGGTTCATGAGTTCCCTTGCCGTGCACGACTTTATGCTGGCCGCCATGATCTTGTATCTCATCGTACAGAACGACAACTATCGGGAAGACGGCACCGGCTTTGGCACGGCAGGCAGACAAAGAGAAGCGCCGACCAAGGAACAGCTGATTGGCATGATCCAGAGGTCGCACTACATTAGCTGCCGAGTCTTCAACAAGTTGACAGACCTGAGGAAGACGGCAGATACACTGGCCGTCATGCTGGCCAAACTTGGGAGACCCGTTGAACGAAGCTCACCCGCTTCATCAAGCACCCCGTACCCTCCAACATCCGGAAGGGACTCGAGCAGATCAATCTCCAGTCACGCAGTACCCCAAGAAGCCGTCGAATACGCGTCTGATTATCCCACCAGCGGCCTCGAGGGTACTTTCTACAGCCCCAGCCCAGTACGACTATCAGTGACTAACATAACTGCAGGTTCAGGCTCAAGCTCCGGCCCGACACCGTACTCCCAAGGCCAAGCAGCCACCGCCGCAGCTGCTGCGGTGACCATACCCGGCCAAAGCAATACGTCTGCTCCAATGGCAACCGGCATCAATCAATTTGACATGTCCTGGATGCTGTCTGTGGATAACGTAGACTGGGTAAGCAGAACTCACCCTTTTGATCATACTTCATCCGGGATCAATGTTAGGATGGCGTTGGGGCTTGACCCGGCTAACCTTCGAGAGTAGAGACACCTCGATGCTTCTATCGGGCAGCATGCGATGGATAGCTCGGGTACCAGTGCACCTCAATCATGGATAGAGAGACTGCCGCTGGATGATGTGGACATGATGGCTGCTGATATTTGGAATATGCCTCCTGGGGCTGGTACTCAATAAGTTTAGTAGCACCGCAAGTCACGAAAACGTGTCAGGAACCCGTGTGCCGCCCCCTACATGGAATCAAGAGGCCTCTTTTAAAGTTGGACACCTCTTCTCCTAACGAAGGGATCATCTATGATTGCCAATCCTACGAGGCGAGGTAGTACTCATGACACAGACGGAACCTGACGCCAAGTTCAGTCAGGCTGATGTCGATAAACCAGCACACGCTTGTCGTAAGCATCTTCGTCACTTTGGGGCTCCAGCTCAAACTTCAGCTCCCCCAGCTTAACTCGATGCGATTTTACTTGTCAAACAAAGGAATAGCAAAGGGAGGCTGGGAATGATACTGGAAACTCACGCGGGCGAATATGCAATTCCACGGAGGCGGTTCCCCACAGGCTAGACATACCTTCTGATAACACAAAGTCGAGCAATGCCACCTAGGATGCTACGCCAATAGTTGGAGGGCGTCTTTCCAATTATCCGTTGATAGCACCGTGCCATTGGATAAAGAGGGGGAGCCAATGGGTGAGATGGCTGGAGTTAGTAGCCAGGTTGAGTGTGAGCTCAGACCCAATTCGCTTTGGATCTCGTCCGCTTGTCAACGAAGAAAACAGGCGTCTCCAGCACCTGATAGAAGCCCCTGCCAACTTTGTGCTGGTTCCTATGATCCCCAACTACTTTGGCACTCGGCTCGTCGGGAATGCGATGATCGTCCAGGCGTGCTGTATGTTGGCCCCAGCATCAGATGCCCGCTTATGGTGACGGCGGTCATCATCTCAGATGGAGGATTGATACTTGGCTGCACTCCATATGGACAAGTTTCACCGCGGTAGGGACCGAGCCGCAACAGGAGTTGATGTGCACGCGAGCTAATGCATGAGATAGGCCGAGTTGCGGCAACATACCCCTCCTCATAGGTAGTAGTAGGTGGTGTACAGAGTACGAAGTGGTACATCATTGTACGAGTAGCATCCGAGACATGTGCCTCCTCGTTTGAGGCGCTCGCTAGAGATTGTCGGATCGATGATCGTGCTTGTGTTTTGTTGAGCTGCGGAGGAGCTGAAGCTTACCGTGTCCTGTAACCCCTGGAGTGTTTGCTGTCTCTGCAGGCGGCGCCAACGAGGCTCACGAGGACAAAAAATGAACTAGACAGTCAATGGGGGCACTCCTCTTTGCAAGTGCCTGCATGGAGAGGCGGGGAAAGAGACGAGGAAGCCTGTCCACTCCGTGGGCGTAGCAGTAGTAGCACAAGCTCGGGACCTGGAGGTTGACCGTCGGCTAGGAGATCGGTTCGTGGGTTAAGCGGCACTGTCTGAGACCATATGAAATCACAACCCTGCCACTAGTTTCCTCACCCGCTTATGGGCGCAATTAGATCAAGCACTAGAGGGGAAAAGAGACGAAAGACAAAGAAGAACAGGGAGAGAAACGATAGGTAGTGGCGGAGGGCCGGTACAAAGGCATCAAACATGCAGAAGCCGCACCAACGGCGTACTGCGGCCTGTCGGAACGCCGCATCTCTCAACAAGGCACCGCAGCCACTCACGGCCTATGAAGGACGAATGACACGGCGGGAAGTGAACGAATATGTGACGGAACCGCAGGAGATTGGCTATGCAAGCAGCTGCACACACACCTAGGCGACCAATACGGGTTGAGCGCAGCTAGAGCTTCATCGTCAACAAGGCAAGGGCAGCTCACGGGCATCACAATTATGGAGCTGCCTGTACCTGTAGCACCTTGAGGGCCAATACAGACAGAGCGGAAGGGAGCCGAAAGGACTCTTGACCAGGTTGGAAGAAAGGGGAAGGAAGAAAAAAATGAAGAAAAATCATCACAGGTCTGGTGACCCGAGCTCTGGATCGATCGATGACGGTCCAGGCCAAGCAGGCAGAGAAAAAATTTCGACAAATGGACCAACGGCAACCAGGCGATTTTGAAGCAACTGAGGATATGAGCAATGGAATGAGGTTAACGAAATCATCTGACTGGAGAGCCGGGGCAAAAATTTACCTAATCCCAACTCTCCTTGCCGCCTGGGTGAGTTGCGTGTATCCGCCCTTGGCCCTGGAGTTGACCTCCCTCCAGCCTCGCCGAACCTGGAGCGTGGAAACGTGGGCAGCGTTAACGAGAGCTAATGCAAATAGGCCGAACGCCGGAAGGACGGGAGACGCAGCCCAGCGGTCGTCGAAGTGCTCTAATAATGCTTTTCGCTGTCGAGGCGCCGGTATGGGAAACAATACGAAGTTTGCACGGTGGATGGAAGCTGTAGGAAATCCGGGAGGGTTCTTTGGCTTCTTTCCTTTCCTAGCCTTTGCTTATTCATGGCTCCTGCAGCCTGAGTCGATTGCTAGAAGATCCTTCCCCCTTCCTTCCTAGAGCCAATGGCTCGGTACGATTTGCTTTTGAAGATGCTGTACTGTAGATAAGGATAAGGCCGATAGCCGCTAGTACTCGTACTTGGAAGTCGTTATCTCGCACCTTAACCGCAAAAGGACCCAACGGGCACATGCCTCACGCCTTCAATCGTCGCGTAAGGTAAGGCAGGTACTTGTACACGCTCACTGGTCCGATGCCGCAATCCACCGCCGGTATTGTCTCAGCAAAACCATCCGGCCTCGTCTCGCAGTTCACAAAGACAACAACATGTAAGCTGCCGCGAATCAGCACCGTACCACATCCAGAGCCGCTGCACGGAGTACGGGCCCATGTGCCACAGCGTCTGCTCCGAATTTCTGAGGAGCGCGTGACAGGTTCCGGGTCAGCACGTCCGGCGCTGTCACCCGTGCTCCTTACCTTATCCCTTACTCTAGTAGCAGAGTCGCAGGGCATGCAGATATGTATTACTTTGCTACGCAGGAAGTACTAATAGAAGTACTAATAACAATGAAACGGTGTCAGAACACGGAAAGGGACGGTGGGCATCTCCATACTACATGTAGCGGGCAAACGTTGCTCAGGGGCGCAGTATCATTACTAGGCTGACGCTGCAAGTCCCCGAGTCTTGATGGAGAAGCTCGAGGTCATGCACTTCATGTCATGCCCCGGACATGCACAGAGTATGTATGTACCCCCAAGCTATTTCACTCCCTGCAGGAAAGGCAGAGTGCAGGCACCGGCATGTCAGTGGAACTCGGAGAGACCCATTGGCCGTCTTGTTTTGTGATGCTCTTGAGAAGCTCGTCGTCGGCTGACCTCTTCCTCGGCCGTCTTCGATGCCACAGTCACAGTGCACGATATTGACATGAATCACACCCATTGATGGCATGTACAGGAGATTGTGGCTCTACGCACACTGTAGCATCCATCCTGTGTTCCCTTTTTGCCTCTATTAGCGCTGCCCATGCCATTGGTGGCAGTTGTCCGACTATCTAATGGCATGAAGTAATGCAGATAAACGGCGTGCCCAGAGCAAGCCCTTTGGCAGCGCCCTTGCGCCTCATCCGCGGAGTTGCATGGAGCCAAGGCACAAAACAAGAAAATCCCATGAGGTGACTTCATTTAGCGACGCTGCCCGATTGGCTGGCCCCAGACAATCTTCAAGCAGGAGGCGAGAAATCACAGCATCATCTCTTTCGTCAACTGGACATGCGTCGTGCATGGGATTCTTGACTTGGACCTGTTTGATGCGAACGGAACAGCATGAACGTCGCTGCTAGAAGCGAAGAACAAGCCGTGGCTAGCCTGGTTCCGGTCATGTCATCTCACTCCACACGTGTACCTTTATGGACCGACTGTTGACCTTTCAGAGATTTTAGAGCAAATCAAGACCGTCGCGAGCTGTATCAGCGCCTCTGAGTGGTCGAAAGTCTTCCGGCAGACCCTGTACGGAGTACCGGTACGACCATGTTACGTAGCACTTTGCTTGGACCGGATCTAATCAGATGTTGCCCGTGCGTGCACGGTAGACTACCTATCCAGCCACGTACCCCCTCGGTGATAGGGCCACCATGTCTAACCATTTTAGGTCACCACCCGCGCAGGACATCTAAATGTGGAAGGTATAGCGCTCTGCATATAAATTAGTATGCAAAGCTAAGTACCTAGCACTAAGGGCCATATTTTATCTATAGAAAAAAAAAACAACACTAACACCATAAGGCTGCAATTGCAATTATGTAATATAATATATAGTAAGTTAAAATATAATATATAAAACACACTAAAATATAGCCCAGATTATATAAATTAAACAGTAAAGTAATATATTCCTATTCTAGCAGCTACTCCTGCATTAAATTAATAATATTTTTATATAATAATAGCCTAGGACCTTAAGGATGCGGTAGCTCTGTATATGCTAATCCTAGGTCTTTAACCTTTATACTATTTAGCAGATAGCCTAGGTTAAGAAGTGGCTGGCTGTAAGATAGCCTGTTGCTACTGCTGTTACTGTAAATTAATGCAATTAACGCTAAAATTAGTAGCTGCAATCCAGGGGCATTAAAAAAACACAGTTAGTCTTTATGCCTAACTATATAACTAATGCCTATCCTTATAGGAGGCTTAATACCCTTAAATTATAAGGGAATGCGCTCTATTTAAGATCTAGCAGCACTAGAGCATTAGAAAGTCTTATGGATGGGATTTAAAGCTAGTAAAATAGGCATTTGCATAATTATTAGCGGACTTTATGGTATTATGCAATTTCCTAAGGCTTGCTAAATTTCCTACTATATTACAGCTTACAGGAAGGTAGCTAGCCCTAGGTTAGCAGACCCTGCTAGCATAGCCTGTAAAGCTTATTATAATAAATTTTATAGCCGGCCTTAGTGTTAACAGCGCTGCCTAGGGGCAGGCTTATTAGTTAGGTTATTCCTTAGGCAGCATTTCTGCAAAACGACTTAGGGATTATATATATAACAGTATAGATCTAGATTAGCCTATTTTTATTAATATAAAGAACTAAGGGCAATAGCATCTATTTAAAAAAGCTCACTAAATTAAACAGCAGCAGCCAGTGGTTATTAAATAGTAACAGCAGTAATAGCTTAACCACACAGACTTAGCAA